TAAATTGAATATCAAAATATTTCGTTAACCTTTAAAATTAAACATGCACAGCCCTGGTCAGATATGAATAAAGTACTGAGAACTGTGGCCATTCATCAATCAGACCATCTTACTTTCTGAATTTGTGAATTAAAGTCGGAGTTCTGCACCTGGTGATAACGATTGTCTTATTTAGTGAACACTGCTGACTTCAGTATTTAATACTCTAAAGTCAATCAGACTGTTTGATTGCTCACCCTCGGTGTGAACCAGAAACAATGGTTTAAATTTTTTTTGCTCCTTGGAAATTCAGAATAAAAACAATTATGACGCAGAATTTTTAATTTCAAATAGTTATATGTCGGTATAGTTGGATGTGTCATTTTAAAGCAATACAAATAACAAATGTATTCTATAACTTCATCTGCAAAACTTAGCCCTGAGGTATCGAACACTATTTTTATTTGTAATTTGGTATACCATACGAATCACAAATGTTCTTATCAAGATATTGTCCAAGGAAAACCAAATTGTATAATTGCTTTTACCAGTACACATGTAGACGTGGATAATCCATTGTGGTGTATCGTATAGACTTGGATAATATTATCCCACGTTGCTTCATTGTGGTGTAAAGTATAGACTTGGATAATGTCATCCCAGGTTTGCTTCATTGTGGTGTACAGTATAGACTTGAAGAATGATATCCCATGTTGCTTCATTACGGTGTACAGCATAGACTTGAATAAAATTAGGCCTATCCCACGTTAGTATAGACGTTAGTATATAGTATAAACTTGGATAATGTCATCCCAGGTTTGCTTCATTGTGGTGTACAGTATAGACTTGAATAATATTATCCCACGTTAGTATAGACGTTAATATATAATATAGACTTGGATAATATCATCCCATGTTGCTTCACTGTGGTGTAAAGTATAGACTTGGATAATGTCATCCCAGGTTTGCTTCATTGTGGTGTACAGTATAGACTTGGATAATATTATCCCACATTGCCTCAATGTGGTGTATAATATAGACTTGGATAATATAATCCAAGGTTACTTCATTGTGATTTTATCCCAGGTTACTCCAATTCGGTATACCACCAACACTGTACTCGGATACAGTATCCACACTTTCTACGTTGTGCAGTGTTTTATAGACTCGGGTTCTTATTCCTAGTTGTTCCAATGTGTCATTCACACAAGACTTGATGTCCGGACTTGAAAAATAGTAACCGAAGTTAATAACTTGTGTCACAATCAAAGTATAGACACAGGGAGTGTTTATAATGGTGATCTAGAATTTACCATCAAGAACATGATGGATTCTTGGACAACCTGTTTTTCAGTCTTCTGACAATAGTTTTTGTTGTGCTTGGATGCTATCTTATAATAAAAAGAAACTAAGAATCTCCAAGTACATGTGAGCAACATCTCCCAGTTTTATTCTTATGCCGTTTTATACCTACATAAATGATAATGAAACAGAAAATAAGCTTTTTGTTGCTGGTAGAAAACAAGTCAATTCGTCAAACGTGATATGGAAAATTGAAATTGTTTCCTGATTTGGGTCTACGTTCGAAGAACAGTTCAGATACAGTGCACTTCGTTGGAATAGGTTTTTTAAATGACACTGTGATTCCAAACCGTGATTCATGATGCGCTCAAGAAAGAAAACGTTTTCAACCGAATATTCAAAGAGTTTGAAATTGCTATTTTATAAAACAAATAGTGAAACAAAAAAGTTTACTTTGAAAAGGAAGTTTGTTTTGGCTCGATTTTGGGTCAGGTTAAAGCTCGGTGGATATGATATATGTTTGTTACAAACTGCAAACAAAATCTGAAATATTATTAGCGTTACAATTAAGCTCATTTACTTAGATCTTGATTAGGTACGTTATTTGAACGCTTATGTCCAAGGAACAATAAACTTAGAATAGGTTTGTTTTTGAAACATGGCAAGCCTTCTGGATATAAAAATAATATAAAACGCACATCAGAATTTCAGAATGCAGGCAGGACACGTTAGTATACGCCGCAGCATTACTCAAGAAAATCATCAATTATTTGAAAAGAAAACTTCTGTTCACTCCAGCGAAAGCTGGCAATAGTGAGTACCTGTGCTTTCATTAATTAAATTGTGGGTGGTGTTACATGGAAAATAGTGTCTGTGTACATATACATGTCAGCAGGTCCACTTGTATGGGTAATGGCTACCGACGGGTATATTCTAAGCAGCATTTGAAAAACAGTTTAATCATAAGACAGTTCATGTATAGGGTGAATGTTTCCATTGTAAAAATTTACGACCAAAATATCCCTGCATAATAACCGTCAAAGATGATTATCGTGACGTCTCATTAACCGATTGCGAGACGCGCGTGGTTACACAGCTTTGAAGGGATCAAATGTCTGGTGACAGCGACAACTATTAATGGGGTTAGGTTCGGCCCACTGAGCTGTGCGCATAAAATTGGGTCCATTCCCACTTTGTGTTTGAAAGATGCCTTACAAACTTTGACAGATGTCATTTGTGCTGGAGTAGTGGGAGGCAATTGACAGGGACTACATTTCAAGTCTGTCTTACGCTTCCTAGAGTCGTGTCCATGTTCATCGACCCAACTTTCATAGTACGTCAATATTAAGCCTGGTTTCCACAACGACGAAGAGCATCACCGATAAATGTTGGACATACGCAATCATATGGAACCCTGACGCGAACAAGGACGGCGATATTTGGCAAAGCTGAAATTGGATTCACTCTGCCTACTCTCTGCGTTGAGTCGCCAGAGAAAGCCAAGCACGCAAGCTGGCACGACGGGCGTTCAACGATGTCTCTCTCGCTTACAGTACTCAGCATTGCCAGATTGAATTACGATTGCACCAGAATTGCCCCACTTTGGCCTATTGAAAAAAAATTTTGGCTGCGCTAGATAGATTTGAGCATGTTCAAAACTGTTTTGGCCCTTCTAACCGTTAAGGATCACCTAGATTCTTCAAAACCACACTGTCACGTACGTGTCCGTGCTTTGCCATGCTTCAGTAAGAGTTTGTTGACCGAGGCCCGTCGGAGCCACAAACGTGACAACATGAGCTAGGCTTTGGTCCACAGAGCCATGGTCACGCAGGTGGCGACACAAAGGTAAACTAGTATAGGCCTAAGCATCTATACTCGTATCCAACACAGGACGCTCGTATGGATAAACCCCTTGCACAGATCAGAGGAGAACTGCAAGGCATTTTGGCAGTTTAGTGGCCATCACTTGTATTCTGGGCACGTCTAATTGTTTAATATTCTATCGAGGGAACGAGGAAAGTAATTGTGTCTGGCATGCATTCAGAAGGAACCGTACCCATTGGCGCCTTTGGGGCGTCGGGTACTAACGAGGCAAATCCACGCCATGCATGCAGTTAATAACCCGGAATTAAGTGTGCTTGTGCCGTTTTTTAATACCCGACTTCGTCTCCATCGGAGGCTCTGTCTTTTTTTTTACCTTCTGACTTTGAAGTTGTTAGCTCAATAGTAAGTATGATAGTGTCAATGAAACAGCAAAAGAGTCAACGCTTTAGGCCCACAATCGGGTTTGATTTTGGAGACGAAATTAATCCTGTGACGGAAACGAAAATGAGTATTAGAAAACGGCCCCAAATTGGCATGTGGGGGTTGTGAATCGACCACATTTTGAAAGTTTTGGCAGTTACCTTATCGTGCTCGCAGTAGCCAGACTACAGGGTGAATTTCTGAGGGGGCATCTGGGGGTATAGGTGCGTAGATTTTTGAACGGGGCACGTTTTGTGCATTTCAAAATTTCAAGAGCGGGGGTACCTGAGGTACTGCTGGGAGTTATGCATCACGAACACTGACGACGACCAGGGAGTGTCGTTGTAAATTTTCCTTGAAATGTGGCTAACGGGGTGAAAATTGTTCTTTCAAGATCGTACTAAGTTGTTATTGCGAGACTGGCACATGTATACATGAAGTTTGCATTACGCTCTCGGCACGATTAAACTGAGCGTGGGTCCCGACTCTGATAAGATGCAATCCGCTCGTTCCACCATGTAAAAAACTTCAATTGTAGTGTGATATAAGAGATCACGGAACGATGGTTATACGTTGTTGCTGCATGTATAACGTGTGCGGTACGTTTGTAGCTAGCTGCCGTCACGTTTCCGAGCATATTGGCTGAAACAGTGCACCCCATCTATTCTTTCTCGGCCTAAATGATACAAAACTCCATTAATGTGGTGGGAACGGCATAAAAATTCGTCTTAGTCGAGCTACGCTTGCACCAATTCTATAAACATCCTGCTGATACGCCCCAACTACGCGGTATATGAATGCCGTATTTACTAGGTTAAAAACTCTGCCACCGCGATTTGAAGCCGCTACGATTCTGCTATGTAAATGTTGAGCATGCCCACTATTTACTACACGACCTAGCAGTCCATGAAGACCATACCACGTTGCTATGAGTTCCCACTGAGTTCTTAATACGATGTGCAAGATCTCGCCACGATTGGCCACGCTCTCCCAATTTTTAGAGGACGTAGTGTGATGTGTTTTTATGGTGTGATGGGGGTTTAACGTGCCCCATACCATGCCCTAGTGTGATCGCTTAAGTTTGACACGAGATGTATGTTGTGTTATTAAGATGCATCGTTGAATTTGGCTTGTTTTCTACACTTGATCGATATCGTAAAAGTCGTAAAAGTTAAGATCGAACTTAAGAACAATTTGTACAAACAATGGCCTTACATATATACAAATATACTGAAGTGTTACATCGCTTTTGCCGTAAAGAACATGGTGGTGCGAAGTACGTAAATTTCTTTTCCTACTGAAGTGCAAAAAAAATTCAAGATTTTACAAACAGTTCTGGCACTTTCACCCACCTTCTTCAGTCTAAATGAATGCCACATGACTTTCCTATTTAAGGAGTCACCCAGTTCGCATCCTATTTTAAACGCCGCGGCATTTCTCTTCTAGTAATATATCACAACCCAACGGTAATACATTTACAACGGCTTTTGAGTAGTGACCATTGTTTGGGCTGTGGACGCAGTAACTGCAGACGGTATACCATCTTCACGCCTGTCAGGACGGCCCACCACCATGCGAAATGCCCGTCGAAACTGCCTGTACTTGAAGGAATAGATGATCGGATTGATACAGCAATTAGAGGCCACCAAAATGGTACTGGTGACCATGAGTGGCCCGTCGAAATCAATCTTGATCCAGCCCACGTTGAACATGAAGAATGTGAACTGGCTGGGTGACCAACAGATCAGGAAGGTCACGAAGACGATAAACAGAGTCTTGAAGGTATTGCGTCGGGCCCGAAGGAGTGACTCCTGTTGTTCGTTGACCAGCCGTGGTTGCTGTCGCTCCTGCCCCATAGCAGTCACCGCTTGGATGTGGCTGCCCTCCACGCCGTGTTGGTAGCTGGTGGTGGTAAGCGGCGCGATTTGTTTGGCGCTCCGCTTCAGGGTGATGGTGATGTGCGTGTAGCAGAACAACATGATGATCGCGGGGACGAAATACTGCAGGCAGATGAGCAGTGGCCCCATCACCTTGGACGCTTCCAGCTGCAGAAACTTGCACCTGCCGTCAATCACGCTGTAAATAAGGAAGGAGTAGGACTTGAGCAATAGGCCCATCAACCATACAACGATCATCATCACAACAGTGGATTTCTTAGAGAACAAGGCCTGGAATCGGAAGGGGTACACGATAGCGAAGTACCGCTCCAGCGTCAGGGCCAGAAGGCTGAATGTGGAGGTGACGAACATCACCCACAGTAAGGCATCCCCGATCCACATCCGACATAAAACCTCTCCGGCTGTCGTTGCCGGCACCGGGTCTGGCACGGGAATGTTATTTTGAAGCACCAACAGCAGCGAACCTAAGAGATCGATGACTGCCTGGTGGCAGATAAAGGCATTGGTCATCGTGTGCATGAAGTGGACCTTATATATGACCACAATGACCAGGCAGTTGCCCAGCACGCCAACTACACCGATGACGGTCCGAAATACCCGAAGAATCAGAAGAACATCTGCCATGGCCTAGGTGTTTTGTTTTGTCTCAGCTTCCTTCCTTCGTCTGCTTAGTGATCAATATATTAGTAAATGTTGTCGCTTGCCTACTGTTCTCAGCCTTTATCTCTGCAAGTCCATTCCCTTCTACTTGCATCGAATACGCTGGTTGGACGTGTCTGCAGATCACGTGCCTCATGAGCTGAGTGATTGGTCTTCAGCTGTCGAGATGTTTGTTTATTGCAGCTAATCGGCGTAGGTGCTGGCGATGTTTAGGATAGGTCAGTTCTAATATTTGCCGCCAATGAAAGTATCGTTTGCAGGGCCAGATTATCCAATAGGCACAGTAAGCACTGTTCCCAGGTCCAAGGAAAACTAGGGAGCCAATGAAACAAATGACTGCCTAAAATTATGACAATCTGTGACAAACGCACAAGATGTTGAAAAGCGACATCGAGTGTCGAGCTATTTCAAATTTTTCATATGATCATGTACATGTACATTGAAAATGTACAGTACATGTACATGAACTTGCACATGTGCACACATAAACCATGGCCGACCGGTCGACAGAGAGCCCAAATTGAAATTGATCAAACTAACAAAGGACTATTCGCTATAGCTTAAACATAACATGGTAACCTTTTTCAAACACTCTTTCAGTTATCGGGATATGCAGCATGTGTGGACCAACTGGAGAACAATTCAGATTTTCAAGTTTAAAATACTTTTTTTGCGTTCAGAAATGTAACGTACACATACATCTTTCACCCCATTTTCTCCCTAATGTAACTTTTGATTATCAAAGGAGAACACATGACAAATGAAATCTGCAGCTGATTATATTTCTCTGGTATAAATTCAGCAAACGTTTACACAGTGCGGAAGATCTCCGCAGATAGATTTTGATGTAGTCATTTGCTGCTGGGCGTCGCCATTTTAACAAGCTACAGAAAGTGACCTCGAATTTGCCGAATTTTAGTGCATGCGCACATGGTAAGAGGAAGGGGTGAACATATGTGAGCTATCGGCCTTGAACAGTAGCACCCCCTCATCGGTTGAAATTCCTAAAGAGCCTTGTTGATCAGGAATGTTCAATGCGACTATTATAACGCTTGCGTTTCATAGTCTTTGCTAGGAAAATTACGGTATAAAAATATTGTGGTATAAAAATACTCGCGTTTTTTTAACCACGTTCAACATCGCTCTCGTGCACACAAGCTGTTGGCGTTCTAATCACGGGATTTTGTTCATAGGCAGTCTAGTCTTTAAGTTCATTTCAACAGTCGTCAGTGTAATGTACGGACTTGTGTAATCATATTAAGATTCACGGATGCGAAGATTTTCAATCTGTTTGGCTTTTTCGTGTTTAGTCGACAGAAACCATTAAAAATCACACGCACAGGGGAGGCGAATGCCTCTCGGGAAAATCACGTAGTTGCACGGTGGGTGAAATGATGAGCTCGCTTACGATATTTCCCGATGTTTAGCAGCAAAAAATCATATCTAAAATTCTCGCCCATGTGTGAAATATCACAATATTGGTGTACTACGATTTGCAGAGTTTTACTATACAAGTACATTCCCTCCTTGTGGTATTACTCCGCATCAGTTTTTTTTGGGGGGGGTGAACAAAAAAATAACAATCACGAGGAGTGAACATTAAAATGTTAAATTATATAACTCTCGTTGATGTTCTTTTCAATTCTGTTACAAACGACAAGGTCTACTACCATCATAAATTCATTATTACTGCTACTTTACGGAAGCGTATATGGGCCACTTGCAAAAATGTTTTTGTGTGAGTTTCTTTCTCGCCGCGAGATAGGAACTCGCCGCGGCGAGATAGTAACTCGAAAAAAAAGACATTTTGCAAGTGGCCCTTATACGCTTCCGTAGGTATGCAGGACCTACTAAACTTCTGAATATTAGGTCAAGGTCGTAGTTTTGCGTTTTACCTCATGATCTTGACATTTCATATCCAGACTTAAAATGTGAAATGTGTCTGATATACCCGGGCACCATATCCAATACCTCATTGGGTAATTTAGCCTATTCCTCAGCAAATACACTCCCCTTCAGTTCATTCCATTTGGTGCCATTTTGTGTTTTCGTTTTCTCAGTAATCTTTGTAGAATTTAAAACTGGGTAAATTAATTAAGACAAGTTCTGCACAGTTCTTAATATTGAATATATATTGCCAATTCTGGACCCTGGTTTAATAATTTTCCACGAGGCCAAATTAACTAACTTGTTTCTGAAGGTTCTAAATGAATGGAACTGCAGCTGGAAATACCAACAACCAATTATTCGAGGTAATTGACACACGAATGATGAACAATAGGATTGCCGCGACAAGAATGCTAGGATTGCCGGACAGGATGACTTGTTCGTTTCCATGTTTTGGAGGCCAAAATGTAATTTTGTTGGAGTGGACAACTGCATCTGTACTTAGCTTCCTTGAGATGGATAAGTGAAATTACCTTCCGTCTTACGCGCTAATAACATCTTACACTTTTCATCACTGACCAAAGCAGTGACATGGACTCAGACCAAACCGGTGTCTATAAATTGGGCACGGAGAGTGACATGGCTAAGGGCTTTTCGGGATAAGCAAGATAAGATTCACGGGTTCTGATTTGATCGATTTTATGACAATGTAACATCTACGTGCTGATCTGACAGCTTACCCCTGCTTTTGATCTGGAGACGAAATAAAACGGCAGTCCTAATCAGGCATTATTTTTGTTCAAAGTGAACTGATCGAAGTAAATGGTCATCTGTGTACAAGACTCAAATAAAGATAGCTAAAGACCACGGGCGTAAACCCGGGGGTAATGGGGTTTATACCCCCATTTGTTGGGGAGGTTATCTGGTGAATCCCCCACACACTCACACATGTTCTGGGTGTGAAGGATTCAGACAGACTGTGAAGAATTTTTTGGACTTTCCTACCTTAAAAATGTATTCAATAGTACTAAAAATGGAGAATAATTTAAGAGCCACGCTCAATCATCTGAGATTATAAGCCATAAATATACCGTTGTCACAAACGGTGACTTGTTTCGGAGATTTTAGGAGTCCATGGGAAACAAAACCATGAGAATTATGTTGTATAATTGGATTCTTTATGATTGTATAAATTATGGTATGTTAATTAAGTTTATTGGTTGTGGCTGTATAAGTTAAAGGTTACGTGTTTAAGTTATTCCATTTTGATTTTGTAAAAAAGCCCATGGAATGGATTGATACTTGGTTATGAATCGAATTTAACTTTAACCGAAATAGAAAACTGTGTTTCTGAGTTGCCGTTTTCGACCGTGTGTATTTGGGTGTAAAGTCCCTCTTGTTAGAGTTTTTACGACTAGTGAAGTTTTGGGTATTCGCAGGAGCTTGGATGTCGCGTCAGTGTACCAGTATTTGGTTAAAACATGCAGATATTCAAGCGTAAACCGCCAGGCAAACTTCACGTATGTGTATGAGTATGTTTGATTGGATGTTATTGGTCACTGAGACCCTCCCAATGGGTGCGGTGCATTCCAATTAAATATTTTGTTGAGAGTATAAAATCAAGCTTTGGGGAGTGACTCGTCACTTAGCGGCAAGCAACTCTGGCTCAGAGTCTCCTAAGGCACCGAGGCCCTTTGAATTCGGTCTGAAGTCTGGAGAAAGCCGACGAAAGTTTTATGTTGCCGGCCGAGGCCGAAAATTGTGGATAGCCGTTTGGCTATGGGCTTGCCGACCTTAATTCGCCTCTAAGTCACGAACCCTAAAAGTCAGATTTATTCTGTAAGTGTGATTTATTTATTGATAAATCATAGTTGAAAACTTGTGAAATTAGCATGCAGTTTGATTTTGTTAATATCTCGCCACGGATTAAGTACTTATTTTGCAAGGACTGCTGGCCTGGTTTTTTTTTTCTTTAACAGGTTTAATAGAGTAACGAAGAATCAATCAAAGTAATTTGGCATTGTTATAAAGTGGTCGTGACTTGCTTTACTTTTGTCGATGTTGCGCATTTCCGATTGTGCATTTTTCTTTAGCTGTATCAACATTACATTGTCCCAGTTATGGTGGATTTTGTGACCGCCATTTGATGTGAGGTTCTGCAGGAATGTAATTATATTACAGATGTATTATGGGTATTGCCCCCTAGTGTCATGATTCAAATTACTGTGACTAAGCAACTTTCATCCCCCACAATCCCCCATTCCCCAGTTTCCGGCACAAATCTACGCCACTGCTCCAGACCCTCCTTTAAGTCCTTCGTTTTTAGCATTTTCATTTTCCTATCTGACTTCATTCAACCTACTGTTTATTTTTTTACAAACTCTTCTTCGAGGTTTGTTTTTTATTCGAGATTGTTGGATGTGGAGAATTTTGTACAATGCTTGTACTGTGGATGCATTTTGGTAGATATTACTTGCACATTTAATTAACAAAAGAAGAAACAATCAGATTAATTACTGACATCAATTCGTCATTAACTTTAATTAATAAAATTAATGCTTATTCTCTTGACTCGTTCTCATTTTCATCAATTTATCTATTGTTTCTTTGTGATTTGATCCGGCAGGTTAATTTTAACAACAATAGTGCCATTTGTTTTGGGGGTGGGTAGGGGGGTTGTTGTTGATTTTGTTTGGGGTTTGGCTTTTAATATAAAGATTCAGTTTTGGTCCTACTGTTTTTTCCCCAAAGTTGTCGATGGCTTCAAGGTCTAAAAGTGCTTTTCTGTATGCTCTTTTTTTGGTCCGCGAGACACACTGAATATTTGCCTGATAAACACCGTGACAGATAAAAAAAATCGCCTATACTCAAGCGAAGAGTGGTCTTTTCTAGTGTCTCTAAGTCACGTATATTCTTTGGTTCGTTTTTTTTATTTGCAAGACAGAAAAGCTCAAAGGGGACACCCTTGTTTCAGATCTCGCTTGAAGTAAAAAAAAAAATCGACCATCCGGCTTTTATTGATAACTGCATGTTTAATTCATAAGCGGTTAAATATACATACGTGCGTGCTTAGTCTGTCTTAAACGTTTGTCTAAGATTTGTAGGTGTTTGTCAAAGATAATTCTCAAACGTGCGTTTTAATTTGGAAAATATTCAAACTTATAAATTCAAGTTGCCGCTGATTTTGAGAACGACGAATATCCTGGTTTGACCCCCCCCCCGGATCCGCGCCTGCTCAAGTGCCGACCTCATGTCCTCCTCATAAGGGGGTTCTGCACATTTAGCGCCAAAACATGAAAGAAACTCTAAGAGGGTACAGTGTACAAGGGGCGATCCAGAAAAGATTTGGGAATGGAACCACAAAAATCGCCTTTCTTGCAGTATTTACCACAAAGAAAAAGTCCCTTTTGGCTATGGCTTGAAATTATTACACAGGACTATACGGGACTGGCTGCGGCCACTATACCGTATTCTCGTGCGTAATTTTGGCCGCAGCCAAATAATTTTAATTAAAACTCGAGTCAAATTGCCAAAACTTTGTGACTGGTGTAACCGTTTGTTGTTGGCCTAACACCGTCAACTTTTATCGCAATTAAAGCACCTGCTGCTTTGAGAAAAGAGCGAAGATCAGTCAAACAATCGATCGAGGAGATCAAAGCACGGCATTTGCTGAAAAGAAAAACACCCTGAAGGGTGCATTCCACCAAATGGTTGTATTTCTGGGCGGGGGCTCATTAATAATTTGTGATCCCACAGGATTTTTACAGCAAGACAGACCATAATCAGGAGGGATCATAGAAATATTTCTATTAATCCCGAATTTGGGACTGATAGTTTCTAGTTCGGGGTATTTCTTTCACAAAAAAACCAAATTCCAGGGTCTATTTTGGATAGAGGCGGGCAGCTACATTCAGAAATGAGCGTTTAGTTTTACTGCTATTTTTGGGGTATCTTCACGGACGTATATCTGAAAAAAAAAACCTGGCAATGAAAAAGAAGCCAACCAGCGGCCATTTTACCGAGCCGAATACAAATGCGTGGGTTGGCTCCCTTCTATTGACGGGAAGCGTGTTAGCGTAGCGGTTCTTTCCTCGCTTTGCACCAATGAGACCCGGGTTCGAGTCCCGGCTTGGCCCAGGCTTTAAGTGCATTTGGTTTGCAGCCCATACTCGCTCTCGCAGATTTTCTCCGAGCACTCCGGTTTCCTCCTGCCTCTAAAACTAGACCTTTCTTCCTAACTCCATAATGTGATGCTGATTAATAAAGTGTATAAATAAACGTACAGTTATTGGAGCAAATAGCCTGAGTTGCTGAAAGCGGCATTAAAACTAAAACAACAACAACTTCTATTGACGTCAGGAAGAACAAAGGCGGGCATTCCCAGGAAAGCTTTGTATTCGGCTCGGTAAAATGGCCGCGAGTGGCTTCAATGATATCTATAAGCTGATTTAAGGGCATTGCGAGTCCAGATATGATATGCGTCCGTGGCCGGGTATCTTCCTTGAAAAAGTTGTTTGGCGCCACCAAGCGTCCAAGCGCGTCATGGCACTGCAGCAGGCACACCGAACAGGAGGCGGTGCATTGAGCTGTTGTTAACGAGTGGAGCAAGTATCAATGAATATGATATGTGTCGGTTTCGTTGAAAATTCGTTAAAACAATGGAGATTACAACAGCCGCTGTATTAGCTCCTGTTACAGCTATCGAAGTACACAAAAATTACATTTTATCAGGTAAGGGGGAAACTAATTGATGTACCCTCCTAGCCCAGGGGGACTCCCTGTCTCTGTACGGTAGTACTACGCCGCTAAGGAGAGGTGAAACGAAGACTAACGTTACACCCACAACTGTGGGGTCCGACGTCCCCTCCGCTCCGCTCCCGTCGGACCCCACAGTTCTGGGGGTAGACTGACATCCAACCTGGGCTACCTCCCTGCCTAAACATTCTTGATAAAAAATCTCAGGTCTGGCATCTCTCACTCAGTCTCACAAATATAAATAGATATGGCGCAAGGGTCAGGGGTCACAAGTTGAGGTCCTGGGTGGCAAAATCTCAAAAAAGGAGGCTTTTACTGAAATTGAGTATCTTGGACCCTACAAATCGCCTTTTTAACATTTGGACACAGTCAGGCGATTAGTAGGGTCCAAGTACCTTCCATTCTTGCGGTAGGCATGATGTCACTATGAACTTTAAACACACAGCAAAGGGACAAATTCACCCATTGTGTTATTCCATAATGTACAGAAATTCCCAGATGTCCGACCACCAGAATAGGCTTTTGTTTCCATTAATTCATTTCACTCAAAATACCTTGTACCCCAAAATCAAAATCCGCAGAATTCACAACAAAAAATTTGTCGTTAAGCCGTCTAAGGCACCAGATCATGTAAGAATTGCAGATTCCGATAATGATGAAAACACCCTTCAAATATAAAGAACATTTAACAAATGGCATTGTGTGCATCCCAGCAGACCATGTGCCTGAAACAGGGCTCTTTTTTCATGCATTGGAAGCAGCCCATTGTTCTTAACAAAGCCATTTTATTAAACAAAATTGTTACCTTTAATTTGTAAAGGTATCTTCGTTCCTCTCTGAACCACAGTTTGGGTTTTTTTAGCATCACAGTAATTTTTTAGCAATTTTGCCCTTCACTGTTACAAGTTTACTTTTTTACATCCAATTTTTTTTGGGTACCTGGCCCCCCAAATGGAACCAAGTTTTGATATTGATGAGTGGGTTCGGGTATCCGACATAAGCCTGTCACATTGCGAGCCTCTATATTATAAAGATACCAAAAATTAAGAAATAAGGAAAAGTTAAGGTAGTGGCAAGTTCAAAAAAGGGAAAGTCACTGAGGACAACCCACTGACTCGTGAGGACAGGGAAAAAATCTGTTTTCCTACATTCTGTCCTCTGTCAACAAATTTAACCACACATACCTACAAGCACACCACATGCGTACAGTACACTGTAATGAGCCAGTTGGATATATCAAAAAGCCAAGGTCTTTCAGGAACAAAGTGCATAAGTCAGGCCAGACTACCACGTCAGCACCCTGCTGTTCTTGAATAGCCTTGTACTGGGCATGAGCTATTGGAATACCTTGGGCAGACTAAAATGCAGCACTGTAATTACATGTAAGTGTCTCTTGCACAGTCTTGTGGTGTTGTAGCATGCAATGACAAATAGAACTTAAATATGGCTCTTCAGCAATACTGACAAATATGTTTTAGTCAAAGAAAACTGCCCAATCAATGAACTTCAACAACTGAATTAACAATGTCAACATTCACAATCTAACTACATGTACATGAATGCCATATCTACATGTAACAACTCAATTCTCTTTGTGTGAATATAAAACTTGACAGATTTGTTTATGTTAGTTTTTCAGGTTAGACTCCCACTTAGCAAATTTTCTTATATGAAAAAGAAGTTGATTTTACCCTTTGAAATGTGTGTGAAGGTGAGGCATCCTATCTGCATGTGTACAACCTTGCATCTGGAAAGCACTTGGAATGGTACTGTCTTCTTGGAGCACATGTTATCCATGGCATTCGCAGAGGTAAAGTCAGTGTTTTTAGGGAATGTTACCAACCTCCCTCAACCCATGCCCCCCCTCAAAGAAATTCTAGCTTCTAGTGACTGTTGGTTTCTAGTAATGCAGAGAGTAAGAGTGGCATTGTAATTTCAAACTTGTTTCAAGATGTACATGTACTTTTCTCTGAGGGAGATGTTGATTTTAATAAAAGGTTTTCCCTTACACTGATGTATATTCACAAGCACTGTGTACTCGGTGCCACCTCGGAAAGGACCTGAGCAGGCTTGTTCTTTTTGTTCATTAGCTCTCATACGAGTACTGAGTGTACAGTGTCCAGAATACGTCGATGTAAGGGAAAAACCTTCTTAAACTTTTACTTTAAACTTAATCTTTTAAATTGGTTTGAAACCCTAGAGGCCAGTTCATACATGCTGAAACAAACGCAAACCCATTGTTGTGTGGGCATGTGACAACAAATCAAACTTCATACTGCACAATGCACATTGGTAAAAGTTAAAACCACATTTCAACTTGGACCAATTTCTTTGCAAAGTTTTATTTTGTGTACATGTGATTCGCTGCACTTTTTACATTTGCCTCAAGTATGAACTGGCCTAAATCCTCTCTTGTCCTTAGGAATAATATGCAATAAATTGTTCTAATTCACGTTTAATAGCAAGTACCATTTATCATGTTTGTGGCGTGGTTTGATAATCATGGTCTGTAAATGAACTTATAGGTGAAGACCACCAGTATGCCGTGTTTGGCCAGAAAGCAGTCTGTGTTGTTCTTCTTGAACTGGGGGAGAATGTCAGGTAAAAAGTGGATAAGTTAGGAAGAAATGACTTAATTTTAAAGGCTTTTCTATTATCTGTTGGAAGTTACACCAGACACAGTGCTGATGATAGTTCATTCATTAACGTAAATTTTACACTAAAATTAACATTGATTGATTGTTGTGATATAATATTTTAACACCTGAGTGACTTGTAGCGCTGGAGACGAAAGCAAATATGCTGTGTGTCCCTGTGGGTGTTAAAAACACATTCCACATCACAGGGGTCAACTGCAGATGGTGGCTTTTTTTTGACAGTGCTTAAAGTTTTCTGTGGCAGAGCTAAGAACTAACAAAAAATCCTTTTCCACATGACAATCTTCTGGAACAATTTCTTGTACATGTAAGTGTTGCCATCTTTGATGCAGTTTGGCCGCCGAACAGCCTTAGTCACCCATTTGTCCAAAAGTACATTACCATTTCAAAATCAACTGAAGGGGGCAAAAAAAGTTGACCTTTGGTAATGATTTTAACCCCACATTCTCTTTTTAATAAGCTCTTTTTTTAATCGTTTGATAAATATTACTTTTCATAGGCTCAGTGTCCTGTGCGAACTTGCCGAATTCCCTGATTGGATCTTGGATGTTGCATTATTGGGGAAGGATGAGTCTCCTTCTCCAGCCGCTTGTCTGGGTCTCATTCTTGCTCACAACTCCGCCATGCTGTGGGACTGGAAGCAGAAAGCCTGTCTACAGCACATCCATTCTGCTGAAAACTGCATTCTGTATCCTTTGTCTACATTTTACTGTTTAGGAAAAGAACAAATGTTGCTTTTCCATGCCATCCCTCTAAGTTATTTAAGGTACTGGCTATTTCATTTTCACAGTTTCAAAAACCAGTTTTTTACTCTAGTAAAGAGAGAGGTGCCTTCCTTTTATAGTTTGTGACAGCATCTATCGATAATTCAGTGTTTTGGGTATTTGCATGATACACTTTGATTTTTTGTGAATTTTTTGTCCCGTTTCTATAGTAACAGCCAACTGAAATTTGCCATGCACCGGTTGGCCAAAATTACATCTTTCGTGATATAATTTAAAAGTTTGCAAGGCAGGCATTGTAACAAGACAAATGTTTCTAGTAGCATTACCTACACATATACATGTACATCTCTTATGAGGAAGGAGATGTCCTACTTCATGACAGATGAAGCACATCAACCAAAACATTGAGTTCACCACTTCTTTTCAGAACCCAACTCACTCACAAAAGGGATACATGGTGCTACAGCTAACCTTCGTCTCATTGCATCTTTGATGTTGCAAAACGTCTCTGGAACACACCAGAAAATTATCACCAATCTTGTTGGCAAACCAATTCCTTAGCTGTACATGACAGCTATTCAGCAAGGCTTCTCGGTAGCACCTGGGATGACATGACTGTCGTAGCTGGCACCGTGTTCAACCAGGTTGTGATATGGAAAACAACAGGGCCAAGAGATACAGAAGGAAGGGTACCAGTGGAGAGGAGACTGACAGGGCACCAGGTACTGTACATTTATATTCAAATGATACCTCACCGTTGCAAGCTGCTTCATACTTTAAAACTAGGACCAAAACTAGTGGAAGTTGACCTTCAAATAAAAGGAAAAAAGAAATTGTTAATGAAAACCTCAACTTTTTTGCCCATATAATGATTGATCAGAACAAGGAATTCAGTTTTGTGCTTTCAAATGAAAACTAAATGCAAGTACCTGTAACACTCACGTTGGGTGTCCCTGGTTACTTATGGTATTAACGGGATACCCTTGACAATGAGAATTGTATGCTGATGAGGACAGAACGATTAATCTCAATACTGTGACACTGAGAACATGTTGTCAATCAAAACTGTCACTAAGTGCACAGTCTTGTTTACTTTGTGAGGTCAGGCCTGCAGTCTGCTGCTTCATGCATGCTGCTAGCACAGCACAGGGCCCAGTTTTATGGCGCTGCTTAACACACGATATCACACTTACAGAGGCGCCTCATATTTCATGGAGACCATTAGCAGTGAGCACAGCCAAAGGCATGCTAACCTCGGAGGAAAAATTTGTTTAAGCACAACCGAAATAGGCTTCAAATATTTCAACATCTGGGTTTTTGGTTCCAAACCGTAAAGTTATTTCGAAGCTCCTGCATCTACTTTGACAGGGTGTCATCTTCAACTTGAGTTACCATAGGGGGCGCAAGCTCCTTTGCTCAGTGTCAGATGATCGTAGCATCCGTCTGTGGCACCTAGACCTGGGGAAACCCCCTGCAGAGCAGAGTGGCGCTGTCCACAGGGTGATGTATGGACACAGTGCCAGGGTGTGGGATGCAAAGATACTTGACCAATTTATTGCCAGTATAGGAGAGGTAAGTGAGATGCACTGTCTGCTTGTGCAGAGGAAGACCGGTGCATGATGGGGCAGCAAAACCTTTTTAAGGACACAATTGGATTTGTTTCACAAGTTTTGGGACTTTTTGATGGGATGGTTGGATGAGGGCTTAATATTTTATTAACAATTCAATTCTTACTGTGGTGTTGTCTTTCCCACAGGATGCTACTTGTTGCGTTTGGAACGACACTGGTGAAGTTATTCACAGATTCACAGGCCACAAGGTATCGTCCTGTTTTCTAGACAAGCAGAATGCAAAATCCAAAAATGTAACATTCTGTAGAGCATTTGGTTATCCCAACATTGAAGGGGAGTCAGTCACATATCAAATCATATATAAATCTCAGAAGTGACCGGTAATGAATGACTGTCACAGTTCTCGTCATGGGTTGCATCTTGAAGTGACCTTTGGTGAGCAACTGTAAGGCAAACATTGTAAACTAGACAGTGAGGCTTATCATTGCATATTGCAGTTGACCACTTGGTGCCAGGGTTCACAGTATGGGAGACCTTGGCTTTGTACACATACATGTAGCGAGGGTGCCCGAAATCAGACAAAAGGAGCTGGGCCTTGTAACAACAGACCGTACTCGGAACAAAAGACCGAGCTGCTGGTAAATGCCAAAAATGTTCAGCACAGATACCACTGTTTGCGGCATTCAGCACCCACAGGTTATCACTGGGGACAACAGTGCTCCAGCACTCCAGCAGTGAGCGATACAATATCACTGCATTCTAATCTGGCTGTATTTGTAAAGGCGCCACTGCCATTCAGCAATGCACTTGGCAATTTTGGGAACAAACGAAATTACACAACACGGCACAATTGTGGGCTCTCTTTACAGGGTGGCAGGCCTGGCTCAGTCTGCAATATACGGGCATCAGTTGAAGTTGCCTGTCAGATTAGAGTAGCCACTAGACAGTCGTTCGTGTGGTTGTAAGCATCCAGTAAATGAAGTTGTGGACTTTCTAACAATTTTGAACATGGAAAATCATGAAAAAATTGCCCAGCAACTCGTTCTGCATGTGCCAACTCCACCCGGCAGGAAGTGGTTAATTCTTCTATCAAAAGCAAACCGGTCACCACACATGCCATGTATGGTGTTCATTATTGTGCCAGTCTAGCACTGGGTGCTGACTCTGTGCTTTATGTTGTGAATATCTCAACTTCCAAAGTAATAGGCCCTAATGTTTTGATCCTAGCAGAATCTTTCTCAATGGCAAAATGAGAAAGTTTCTTCAAGGATCTAAATCTCAAGCTCTCTATTAAATCTTACCGAGTGTGTTTTAAGTCACTTTAGTCAGCAAGTAGTCTGCAGTAGTTTTTGTGCTTTCCATTTGAGGAATAATACGCACTAAAAATCAGTCACAACTTTGTCATAGGGGCGGAGTATATGGAGTTTAGCTGTTGACGAAACTCAGCAAGTCATTGTGAGTACCTCTTGTTAACCAGATAAATCTGGAATCCCATGTTCACTTTTGGCCCTGTTGATGAAAGTTCATGTGTTACAGTTAAGTTGAAAAAAATTGCAATGGGTGGAGTTTCTTTACAAAGAGTCCTTCGATTATTGTAAAAGGAAGCCAATTTGTGCCATGAAAGTCAAGATATTAAGCCCAGTCTTGAATTGATGTGAATCAATTTGTGAATGAAAGATACACCAAACTGGAAATGATTTATCATGAAATTGAGTTGACAAAGTAAAACAAAATTGTGTTGCCAAAGCAACTTTTTTGGGTCAAGTCACAATAACCATTTGCCATGTTGTTTGGTTATTTTGAAACCTTTCAAGACTTCAGTGAAAAAGTCTTAGAGCCCATGGTAACTATGATTGACTGCAGCTATTCTTCCATCGTATGGCCTAGTGTTGCTTACAAATTATGATGCAATTATTAAAACTGATATTTGACACTTGCGTTTGATGTTTTAATCGTCTAAGGTCACTGGTGGTGGAGATAGCAGTATACGAATCTGGCCCATTGGTGCTAAACAGGAAGAAAGTAAGTCTTGTTAATGCAAAGGAAAGGATGGACATACAATGGAAGATATTGAAATCCCTCGATACTGACATTCATAGATTGGCAGTGGGTGCTACAGTAAGTGACTAATGGTGTGAAGTGATTGTGCAGAGCATGTAAAAGACAATATGCAAAACTCAAATTTAACCATTATGAAGACTTTGGTTGGCATCAGGTTGTGTCCTGTAAGAGTCAACCTGGGTGATATCAAGATGACTTTAGGTGTATACATGCATATAATCTCTGTGCGTGTTCTCAAACAATGTTTATAAGGTCAAGTTCAAAACTTTCAGCATCTGGTTATTTTTTAAAGGAGACAGAGGTGCTTTTTTTTTCAAGATGGCCACCATTTTGTTCAAATTTCGCACAACCGTTTTGTGTTTTCACTACTCAAAGTCTCAAAATGAAAGGGACACCGAGTTGTCTGTAGTGAAATGAGCAACAGACAACTACATTTTCATTAGTTTCTGTACCTTCTGGGAACATCTTGTAGTATGTCAAATCCTCAAAAACACTATGTCTCAATTTTCACTCATTTTGATGGTCCCTGTCGCTCATACAATGCAGACTTCACCACAGAGGAATTGCATATCTGGACAGATGCTGTACCTGTCTTGCTCAAAGGTGACCCATTGGCATCTGCCGGCCCAGGCCATGGCTTAGAAACACTGACTGATGCAGAAGGATTCAACCCAAGACAACTCGCTGTTCTCAACTCAGGGAAGATCATTATTTTGACACTGAATGGGTAGGGATTAGAGGTCAACTTCTTTCTTGATTTGGAAACAGTTGATTAAAAATTAATTCTGATACAAATTCCTAGAGCTGTAAACAAAAGTTGCTCACTTTGGAATGGAGTTTTAGGCCTCAATTAATGAAATGATAAAACTCTGGTTTGGGGGGGTCATTGTACTGCAGATGCCTGCTGTGTTACATGCTCCGGAGTAAACAGTGGCAGCTGCTGTCACATGACCCCAACTACCAATCCTACTGCCTCCTGTCAGTCTGTCCAAGCCATCAAGTGGCTGCCCTGGGCAACATCCAGGGAAGTCTGAAGATTGTTGCTTTGGGTAAGTCAAGGCTTCGTTTCTAGCATTGCCTGTCTTTTGGCTTTGACAAGGGAAGGAAAACACCTGATCAATTGACATTTCATACTCAAATGCTTGCTTATGACCAAAACTGATGATCTTCATTCGTGTACTTCTAAAATGTTACAATAAAGTATGAGCATGTGCACTGAGATTGCAGTAGACATTTTAGGCAACATACTTGCAGTTCTGATGCAAATCTATAAACAAGATTTTGCCAGGTTTGTAGTTTTTACACATGATTTGAAAAGTCTGATTATGCTAGAAATGTTTGCAAAGTCTGCCGCACAGATGGACGCAGATGCGTGATCAGTTACACTTGATGGAAAGCTCTCCAGGAGCCTGATGGTGTGCATGGCAATCTCTTATCTCTAAAAGGACTGCACTTTAATGTTGATTTTCATTATCCATGGTAAATTTCCTGCTTTTTTTATTTGCAGACTGTGGTCTAGCCTTGGTGGAGTTGCCTGTGTTTACAGGAAAAATCTTCAGTTTGTGTTGGCAAAATGAGGACAACATCTTTGCCACGGGTCCTGATGGTGTCGTGGTGAGTAACTGCCTGTTTTCGCAGTGCCTTAGTGGAGTAGTCTTTCCAGCCACAAGATGATAAATGCCAACTATCGTTTTTATCGTTAGCAGGGCTGGAAAACAATGGCAGTGACACAGTTAACCACTCCACGCCAGGTCCATTTGTCCATGTTTATTCTGCTGCTGGGCCGGGCAATTTTTCATTTTTTCTGTTTTCAAAATTCATTAAAAATTCATATCTTCATTTACTGGACGCTTACACCCACACGAATGACTGTCTGGTGGCTACTCTAATCTGACAGACAATTGTTTTGTCATACCTCTGTCTTCAGGAATTTATCAAAAGTACCAGTGATTACATTTATATAGTTTGGTTAGCGGTCTCCACATTACCTTACACGTTGCGGGGACGGTAACCAGTCTGTTATACGAGTGCAATCATCGATCGAATTCCCTGGTAGCCTATGCACAAAATGTATCCTGGTACCATACAAAACTGACTGAAGGACTGCAAATGTTCATTCTCAAACTTCCCAAAGCTCTTCTGTTTTACGCGCAAACGTGAATGAAAGAATGAAAGTCTCACGGTGAGTGTGATATGCGGATATGTCGTCCTCTCATGTGATCGTTCTGGGCCAATAAACAGACAGTATCCAAGACAGAGGTACGACATCATCTATTGACGCCCAAGTATTTCAGCCAGACCTGCTGCCTTGTAAAGAGAGCCCAGATTGTGCAGTGTTGCGTAATTTTCTTTTGTTCCCAAAACAGGTCCAGTTCACTGCTGGCGTCTATTTAAATGTGGCCAGATTAGCGTGCAGCGGTATTGTATCGTTCATCGCTGGAGCACTTATGTCCCCGGTTGTAATCTGCTTGCACTGAATGCCACAAATAATGGTATACTGTTTCAAAACAATGACGTATTACCTCCTCTATTGGTCTTTTGTTCCGAGTACGGTCTTTTGTTATAAGGCCCAGTTCCCTTTGTCCGATTTCGGGCACCCTGTCTGTGCATACCGGTGTAAAGTAAACGTCTCCAAAACGATGCTCAGTGGCAGCAAGTGGTTAATGCATCATTGAGAGATATGATTTCACATGCCATTACACTGACAGTTATACAGCAACATCAACGGCTCATGTACCGATGCCTTTTGCCATTTTTTTTCTATTTATTCAAGTGTGTGTTTTTTCATGGAGGAAGGACACAAAAGGAAATTGAACTGCCCGGGCTATAACATCTGGCCAATTACCGCTTTTTGGCATGCCTGGTATGTCCATAGCCAGAGCACAGGGAACGCTTGCTACGTACCATCTGTTTCACAACCACGAAACCCCTTTGTACCCTATGATCGCCGCCGCAATTTGTCACTGGTAATCTACATCCTTAAAACTTTGTGCACTGAGGTATAGGAGAATGAATATTCATGCTTTGTTGGTGCTTGATATTATCTCATGACAACATCAAATTTAACGCTTGTGCAGTTACTTGCATTATTATGTGTGCCCTAAATCTATATGTGCAGTCATTGCCCATAATGAGAGCTTTCTTCTGGAGTTATTTCGGGACTAAATAGCCTGGTTGTTTACAAGATTTTGTGTTTTGTTTGAATCATTTTTATTATGGCATTTGCACAAGGAGTAGTTTATGAGATTTCAAGATCACTTTCAGTGATAAAATAACACGTTTTGTTACTTATGAACTTATCTTTCAAGTAAAAGTCAACATTTTGTTGGCCAGTCTTAGCCAAATCTTTGAACACTGATGTATTGGAGGGAGGAGAAAAAAAATACAAACTTTGCATGGGTAATGGAACAATGTATCAAAATTTAAAAAGTTTATTTACGATGGCAAAAGTAGATCTGATATCAGGGATGTTTCTCTCTCTGTTTTCTAGTCACAACAATAATTTGTATTTAATTGCAAGCAAAAAACTAGTATTGCTAGGATATTACTGGCCCTGCTTGTCTGACTAAGATGGAGGCAGTGATCAGGCATTTTTGGAATGTTTTCTATTATTCGTCTGACTTGGCAGCAACCATCACTAAACACTTTGAAGTGCCAGAGTTCCAACTCCTTCTGTGTCCTTCCTCTATGGTTTGTTAAAATCCTTACCATACTAGATGCAACAGTGCCCTGTGTGCTTTGCTGCATAGTGCAATCAACAGCAGCATAAAACTGCTAAATCTTGGACAGTGATAGTGATAGCCCCATTGAACAGTACCACTTTGTGATTTGTGATGGCTGGCAGGCTTGGACTCTAAAGCTAAGGAAGGTGGAACAGTTGACTTGTTGGATCTGTCACTGGCAACATGTAAACTATTGAATTAAGTCTTTCATGCCTGGAGTGTGAGACTAATGCACACAGGTTTGCATCACAGCAATATGGGACACTTCGGTGACTTTATTACTCTTCGTTTTTGCTCTCTGCCAATTTTGCAGATCTGGTACAAGGCCGACAAATCCAGCAAGGCTTACTGCCTAGTGGAAGCAGCCAGGTTCCTATTGCCTCAAGCACCACAGCGTTGGCTGACCACTGTCACGTTGGTTCCCAATCAGGAGGGCGCCCTCGTGTGTGGAGATCGGAGAGGCTCCGTTCTGCTCTATACAAACCTACACAGAACAAGACCAGAGGAAAAGGTGAGCATTGGGCCACTGTTGTGTGAATGGTTTTAATCTTTTTTTACTAGTTGTGCCAACATTACCTTGTCAGATACGCACAGCATCAATTTGTGTTGATTGTGAATCTTATCAGCAGATTTGCAGCCTTTTTACTTGTCATAGCTCTTACACGATAGAACCATCTCTAGATTGTGAATAGATATCACTGCCCGAATTCACTCCGATACTTTGGTCTCCGTCCATGAATCTTCTGGCACTGTGCCAATTGTAAATCAGAGATAATAATTATGAACCATGATAGTAGAGTAAATTTCACACAAGGTTTCAATGCACTGTACAAAACAAACAGATGTGAGTTTCTGGACCAGATTTTAATATTCTAGTGGTTAAGGACACAGGTGCACTTTGTACTGAGTGCATTTCACTTGTCAGAATTGCTCTTGGTTGCCAAAACCAAGGTGACCTTTTGAGCTGCCACCAGTTGGGATTACAGTTTGGCAAATATAATGTGGTCAGATGCATTTGGAACATGTTTAGCCACTCACAGAGCTTGATTTTAAAACAGTAGTCACCCTTACAATCACCCAAACAGAAGAACCACATCAGCTGTTTAAGGAAGAAGTTAATTCATGAGGTTCTGAAGGGCCAAACGGATCACACTACTTGTCCTGACTTGACCACACAAATTATTGTGGAGTGTCTAGAAAAGCAAAGCATATACTCCACTGAGGAGGACTTCAGAAAGGGTTTGATGCAAAGTCCTCCCTCTTACCCATTCTACAGATTTTGAAGGGATTTGGAGGGTTAGAGGCTTGGAGGGGTTAAAGATTAGGATGTATGTCTCCCACTCTCCTGTTTTTATTTTCCAACTGTGAATTTAAATTGTCACTTTTAACTTGTCCAGCTAGTTGGTCCGACACACTCTCTTCCTTGCATACACGGCAAGTCCGGCGTGACGCACGTTTGCTACCATGCTGGGTGCATTTACAGCACAGGTAGAGATGGCATGTACAGACAGAACAGGCTGCAGGGTACCAGACTAGAGATGATGAATACTTGTAAGGTATTGCAGTATGGCACCCTCCAGAAATTTCTTTGAAGAAATGGGAGCTAAAATTATTAAGGATTTGCTGTGATTTGAAATCTGAAATTTAAATGATACAATCACTTTTTTGTGTCCCCCTTGGTTGAACTTGTCCCTGAGTGAATGGGGTATGTTATTTGGTCTCAAAAGACACGGAAATAATAGGTTTTTCTACGGGGAAGTTGCCAGAAGAATGTCAAACCCCGTTCTTTTTTGAGATGGGTCTCGATAGTGTGTAAGTTTTTACATGCAAAACACTTGCAGATTTTATATTAAGATGAAGTGCACTTTAAAAGAAGAAGTTATTGTCAACTTAATATAATGAAATCTTTCTCAAAAGACAGAAAGAGTGTTCTGCTAGCACACAGTAAAAATCTGAATTCACCAATTACAAAGAATTCACCGCACACAAACATCTGTCATTAATTGTCTTTTATGATATTTCCCTCATGTTTTTGACAAGGTATATAAAGGTTTTGAGTGGATAGAGAATATTTCATTCACTGCTGCTGACGATGTCTTGGTGTGCGGTTTCCATGCTGTAAGTTCAACTTTCCACTTTCGGAAAATCAGGTTTGACTTACCATGTTTTAAGTTGAAATATTAAGACCTAATTCCATATTTCTGAATTGCCACTAGTTTCATGAACTGCATGCTCATCACGACCATTTGACCAGTGTCATGGTTATTCCAACCTAAGAGAGAAAATCTTGGCCATCAAAGATATTTTTGTCCGAACATACTTGAGTTTTCCCAAGCATACAGACTCCTTGCAGGACAGTGCTACGTGTATGTTCTCATTCTTGAGAACCAAGCAAGGATATGTGGTTTGCACATGTTGAGGCAAGAACTGCTGGGCTTTTGAATTCCAGACTTTTATCCTGTTGTTGAGCTTCCAACCGTTACAAATTGGCCATGTTTTATGCGGAAATTCACAAAAAATACAGAAATGTCATTTAAGTTGTGTTAATAATTTTGCTTTGAAAACAATATGAAATCCAGCCTTCCATTCCATTATTTGATCATCACACTTGAGACAGTGAGAAAATTGGTCAAATCACGGAAAAAATCATCAAAAATAAATATAATTTTTATGAGTCAAATACCAATTTTAAGCCAATTTTTGAATAATGAACCATGTTTGTTCAGTTGCCTGCAACCCTATCTCAGTTGAGTTACTTTTCCTCTTGTAGCCCTCAGGGTGTCTTGAGTGGCCTTTTGTGACTCAAGATGGGCTACTTGTCCCTATTGTATTCATATGTGTGTCTCCTTGGTCATTTTGCAGTCTTCCTTTATTGTTTGGAGTCACAAGAGCAACGAGAAACTGATCCAGATCCATTGTGGTGGGGGTCACAGGGCCTGGAGTTTTGCCAACTGTGAGCCTCCCCTTACCCAAGGGGAGAGCTCCACCCATGGGGACACTGTGGCAAGGAAGGATGGCACGTGTGGTTCGTTGGCCATTTTTGCTTGCATTAAAACCAAAAAGGTCATTGTGTGCACAGCACCCGGAGAGAAACTACAGCGACATCCCACACTAAAGGTGAAAAATCCCCCAACCCCACCCACATATACTGTCCCTTAATAATAACTGGTATCCAGCGTCACTGGTGCTCAAGGCAATACATTTCTACATTATCCCTACTTACCACCTCAGCTCCCAGGAAAGTGTACAGCTTAATGCCTTCATTGCATGTGCAAATTTTGGTGATGGAAGTACATAGCATTCATACATGTACCCACAAGATATGGACCACGCGTTGGTCATTGTTCCTTCATGAATAAGATTAAAGTTTTCTTTGCCTATCAAGTCAATATCATCAGTCCTAAATGTAGTTCACTCATTTGAAGGAAATTTCAATGTTTGATAAAAGTGTGTTGAACATTTGTTAACCAAGGGAAATGATCGGTATATCCAAATGTTTTGCATTGCTGTGTTTCTCGTTTTTATTACATTTCACATACTGTCCTTACTGTCGCTTCACTTGAGGAATAATCCTCAACCCCATCTTTTTGTTTCCATTTTTACCCTTATTTGTGGTTCCACAGGAGAGTTTGCATGGACGCCGAATCACATGCATCAAATTCCTCACCACCGTCAGTCTTCCAGATGGTAAGCAAGCAAGCAAGCAAGCAAGCTCGGGGGAGGGGGGAGTTGTAGGCGTCTCGAGTTTATTTCTGTGCTGTCAGTGATAAAAAGGAAAAACCTTATTCACAGATGAAAAACTGCAGGCTTGTGCACATAATAGTTTGAAAGTTCTACTCCTGCAAAGTTTTCTTGGCAAGTAGTTCACCAGGCAATGTCTACTGCTTCTTCATAGGTGTTGTTCATTAGCGTAAATCAAACCCAACAGAACAAATGCCAACCACCCATCTAAGTGCAGGCTCAACAAACACAAGGTCACATTTATGCTATTACTTGTAATAGAGATGCAACAACATTTAAAAACTAGTGGCAAGCTGTGCAGTGAAGAGAAGGACCGTGCTTGTACATGTACATTTGATGCACTGGATGGGAATAAACTATCGTACATGCACAGCGATGGGCTAAACTGGATAGTGTTGGGAACATAATCAGTTAATTTGGTATGGCAAGGTCACGTGACTTGTCATATGCTCACAGGCAAATTCTTTGAGGTAAAATGGTTGGTTATTGTAAGCCTTGAAGGGTCTGTGCAATGCGTTTTTTACTACAGTCCTTGAAAGTCCTTCAAAATATTTCCATGTACCTTATTTTAAATTTTTTGCTTTCTATTTCAAAGGGTTTTATGGCGCCTCTCTGGTTTTATGCTAATGCCGATCTCCATATTCACAAAACGTTCAGGCATATCGTGATGCCATTCAATGGAGAAAACCTTATTGATTTTTGCTCAAAACTTGCTGCAATTTTGACAGTCTACTGTTCCAAAAATTTCCTTTTCTTGGTTCATTGTTATTAGCACAAAGCCAGTAGGCAACCGTTTCCCAGAAATGTTCCCCAAGTGAGTAAATTTCAGGTTCACAATTTGAACAAGAAACCCTACAGAGTGAATAGTTTCTTCCATGGTTGACATCACAACAAAAGTACTTTCTGTTTTACAGAAGAGCATAATAGTTTTAATTGTTTTATACAATTAAAAGTGTTCAATGTACATGTACTTAACCCCAAATGAATATTTTTTCAGACATTTAAAGAGAGAGTCCAAGAATATAAAGTTGCAACAAAATAACATTAAAGAAAACTTCACGCTGGACCCTGTAATAATTCTTAGGTTTTGGAATTTCCTCAGAAATTTTAAGAAAGGTAAATTGAATTTGCTTCAATAATATACTGTATTTCCACATTTCTCATGGACCTCTTGCCTTCCTGTCTTTGTAGGGGAATGTGCACTTTGTGCTACAGGAAGTGAAGATAATGCTGTCAACCTAGTTGCCATCAGGTGTATCCACACCTCACTCAATGCCATAGTTAAGGCCAAAATATTTGACAAGAAATTTCCCGATTATGTAATGCTGGTCTTTTTCCAGCCTGCAGTGTTCATGTCAGTGAAGATCGTTTTTGATTGGTACATGCTGAATTTTCAGAGGATGTCCCATGTATGTCCCATTCTTTGGCAGTGTGTACGTGTCAGCATACTGTTTAATTTGCATTATTGAAATCTGATTGATGGCCTCGCAGTAAGTTTATATGGAGAAAGTTTGGTCAATGTATAGACCTGTGAAATAATGACTTCATGCCTTGATTACCACATGTGTGCTTTCCTATGTTAGTGAGGTGGGATGTGATCCATCAAGTCCCCACTGTTAGGCAAGCGCACTTGTAAACAGAGCATGATGACATCATGTTTTAGGTCTATTTAAGAGAGAATTGAGATCCAAAGATTGAACGGTTTAGAGTTCGATTGTGACCTTTAAGAGCTATATGTCTAATCCCTTCTAACTTTGCTACTTTGAACCAGTTACACTCGGGTGTATCCGCATTTCTAATATGTTCTCAACTCATACATCAAACCAGAAAATTTGTCTGAGAAGGTTTTATGCACGGGAGTTAGCGGAAAATAAGGACAATTGAAAGTATATTTTCTTTGTTCAGAGACATTTTGATCTCAAGCAGCTGCTGTATTCAAGCAGACGTCTTTCCTTAACAAACAAGCCCACAGTCCCTGTTGGTGAACCCTCCACACTTCAAATCCTGCACCGTCTTCAAGTCCACATTTCAAGCGTTCGCTGCCTGGCCGCCTGCCCCTCCTCATTTGCAATAGACCCGGAGGGAGAACCCTTAGAGCAAGGAGAGGTCACGGGTGGTCAGGAGGCAGGTCAAAGGTTACTACTGTTCTCTGTTGGTGGCCGGCGAGCCATACTGTGCTGGAGATTGACACTCCCCCAACACTGCCCTCTTCAAGACCAGGTTAGCTTTAGTTTATAGGGCCTTAGGATTGTGTAACATTACCTTAAAAATTAGGCTTGGAATGACTGAGAAAACCATACGTAAATTAAGTTTGGCCAGATACAAAATGCCATGTGTAAAAATATGCCCGTCTTTCCATCATTTCATTCCATGATTTTGGTAACTGTCCTTATATTGGAATGGACGGATTCAATACCTGACCCAACAAACTTTCATGGTCACGCAGTTCTGACATAATCTGCTCTAGCAAGCAAGAGGTCATCAGTTATCATACCGAAGCAACATGTAAAATATTTCCTGTATTCTCAGATGGCACAGTTCACAATATCGTGGTAATGGACAAAGCATATTAATGAAATTGTTACATTTTTAACCATTTGTAAACTCTGTGCCATCTGTCCTGTGTTCTCAGATGGCCCTTACCGTATGTCAGTAATGGAAAAAAATGCAATTTATTACTCTCTTTGTGTTCTGTACAATATGTGACCTACTCCACCAAAATGGGTATTATGGGACATTTTTTCAAAAGGAGTTGCATACACATTTGAATTTTTTACATTATAAGCTTTCATTTGGTGTAGGTTTGAACCCTGTGGCCTTTTGCAATCTGGAGATATATTGATATTTGCGTAATCATATCATACACATTAACAGAAGTGTTTAAACTTCAAGAAGTGGAAGTATAAATTAGCCAAGAAGAAAGTCTCTTGATATTCACAGCTAGTTAGGTTTCTTGTATGAATTGTGGAAGTATTGATATAATAGAAGCCAATAAAACAAGAAGTAAAGAATCACCCTTTCCATCTAAAAAAAAAACCCTGTGTGCTACCACAATCGCCTTTTGCTGATGTCATAAATGCAGTGTTGCCAACGTAAACCATAGCTGTCAAGAAGTGTAAAACTGAACGAGTATTTCACAAAGTGTTTAAAAAAATCTCATGTTAGCATTAAAACATGAAATAATGAATACCATGCTAAATGCCAACAGAAAATGCCTCCAATGTTTACTTTAAAGTACAAAGTGCATTTTGAGGCAAACATTGCCAACCAAGGGTAAACTTACTGAAAACTTTTGCCACCCATACTAAATGGCAGTGGGTGTGAACAAAAATGTCAGAAAGCTATTCAGTTAAACATCAGTTACTTTTCATTATATCAAACAAACTATTAAGGCTTCTGTGCTCCTGAAGTCCATGTGCACTGTGGAGCACCTGATGTCCTACGGAAACACCGACAACGTTAAGCAGCGACGCTGGCTGAAGAGACACGGAAAGCCTGTTGATCCAGAAACCAGGTTCATGTCAGCCTCTCTCTGGAAAGGAAACAAGGTGGTTGGCTACAGCAGGACAGAATGCATTCTGGGAGTAGCTGGTTCTGATGCCTACCTGAGGTAAAAATAAATGCCTAAAAAAAGGATGTGCATTAGCATTGGGCACATGAATATCCAAGCATCATTCTTCTTCAACCATGTAGACACAGGGACAGCGCTTATTTTAGTTTTGAGGTTTAAAGGTTGTGATGAGTATTCTTTTGGGTAAAACAGAATTAACTAGTTGAATGCAGTTGGTATTTTTTTTTATTTTCCATAAATTGGGGGATTGAGTTTCTTTTGTTGATACCCATATACAGGTGTGTTACATCCATAGCGAAGTGGGTTCCTATACCAGCTGTTAATACACACCACAAGTAAAAAAAAAAAAGAAACACAACCGTTCCAAAATACAACGTGTGATACAGGTGTACAGAGCTGTTGATACATATATCAAGGGAGATTCATTTCTGTCGATTGTAGATGTCACACAATCTAGAACTCCGTCACAGTGTGGGAAAAATCAGTTATGGGCTTCTTATGTCATTTTAAACTTGGCATTGAACTTTTTCTAGAGTTCTGTATTTGTTTTCCTACATGAGAAGCTCTAACTGAATAAAAAATTAAAATTCTGAAAACAAGTTCAGAGAAATGGCTTTTATGGACTTGTTTTTACAAAGAGCAATAATTATTACAGCACTTTACAAGAGGTGTATTTCTAAAATGGCATGTAATTAGGTTGTTTCATTTTCAACGAGTCGACTGAGCTCTTGTAACGTTAAAATGCAGCCTGTCAAATTGAAATTTGCCAGAATATGAGAGCATAACATAATGGCAAGATGTCCAATGCTAATTTTATGTGTAGAACTTGTCTTTCTGTGAAACTAGAAACAGTTCTTTGGCTTTTTTCCTTAATTTCCACTGTTGTAATTTGACATCGGTAAACACTTGCTGAGGAGTAACTGTTTTCTCTACTGATAATTTTTTCACAGGCTCTTTGTTTTTAACGAGCAGACCAGGGAAATGACCCCACTTGTTTCGACCAACTCCCAAGGCTGTTGTCTGCTTGCCACACTCGGCATCACCCTTGACTTCCCGTGGGGCTTGTGCCCTGTTCTGCTGACTGCAGGAACCAATGGCAGAATTGTATTCTGGGATATCCAGAAAGCGCTCAGGGAATGCAGTGCTGATTGCACAGAGGACAGCAAGCTGGCGAAAAGTGAATTGAACACAAACGATAAATCTAAAATTGAAGTCTTAGAAACAAATCAACAGACTGGTGCAATAAGCAGGGAACTTTCTAGAAGTATGAAGGAGCAGTGTAGCAATACTAAAATGTCAGCAAGTGGTAAAGATCTATGCAGTATTTCTAAAGAAGCAAAGGTTAGTATCAAGGAACGGTGTGATAGTAATGCAGAACCAAGCAGTGATGATGTGGGAGCATGCAGCAACACAACAGCACAATGCAGAAATCCCAAGGAACAATTCAGTAATACCAAAGAACTTTTCAGTGATACCAGAGAACCATGCAGTTCTACCAGAGACTCATGCCATCATATAACCACAGATACTGATCAGACCTCAAGTACTTGGTACACATTACCTCCACTGTCCAAAAAGGAGCGAGAAGAGCCTGGAACAATACAGAAACATCAGGACATGCAAAGAACTAAACCTTTAGCATCTCAAAAGGAACTTGGAGCTCTGGCAATGAATTTGACAGAGACTGATTCATCAGGAGACAGTGAGGATGGCTTCAGACAGTCACTACTTTCCATTGAGGCACACCAGTCAGGAATCAATGCACTGTGCATGAGTCAATTAGATGGTGAGTAAGTGTCTGGGTAAGGTTTTCTGTGTTGACTGTATTTGCAATAGTGAAACTGGTGACCAATCAGAGAAAAGGTCACCATAGACTCAGCAAGCCCCTATGCTTCAACGTGCTGGTTACCGATCAGAAAATCCTTCAAGACTGGGCCATTTGATGCAGTATCTAACACAGCGCTTTTTTGTATTGTGCGGTCTGGGGCTGCAACGAGACACAAAAACAAATCAGAGAGTACGTAGATTTTACAGGCACCAAGAAAATTACCTTGTTAGAAACAAAAGGACCATCCACGTAGTCTAATTACTTCCATATTTAGGGACAACTTGGAGCTACTATGTATGAAAATAAAAAACAAATTAATTAAAGAGTTTGTTGCAGAAAAAAGTGTAAAGACCACAGTTTCGGAAATTAGAAAGAGCAGAGCTTGATGATGGTCAGTTTTGGTGAAGAAGCCTGGGGTAAAAGTAGCATTACTCTACTCCCAACCCAGGGGATTTAAGTTGTGTAACACTTCAACTTACAGCAAGACTTTTGATGGAATATCACCAGAAAATCCCTCCTTAACTTTCATGACACCATCTTAACGGGGAAGGCAGATCCACAACCTGCATTTCATAGATGATATTGACCAACTTCCAGGAAGTAACAACAAACTGCAAGAACTCACTGAAAGTCTCACCGATCAAGGGAAACCTTATGGCATGGGAGTCAGCACAGAAAAGAGCAAAAGTGATGACCAACAGCAACGATGGACCTTGAGCTGGACCAAGAGAGGGCACTATTTTCTTAGCAACAGAGGCTTCTTTGTTACTAAACTACTCTTTGTTGGTTCATGAACGACTATGAAATGCATGCATCACAGTTGCAACACTACCAACAAAATGAAAACTCCTGACCAATGTGGCTCTTTTCTTGATGAGGGGGTGCTTCTGCTCGTGGCGGATATCAGTACAGACATCACAGTGAACAGCAAGAAGCTTGAAGAAGCGGAAGCATTCACGTATCTGGGTACCATCATTATCAGAGACGGCAGGTCAGTCACAGAAACCTGTCCAGCAGTGGCCATGTCAACAGTGGCAAGACTGGGCAAAATCTAGAGGAGTAAGGGCATTAGTTTCAGTACAAAACTGAGATGACACAATGCACAGATCCCTGGTAATGTCAGATCTGCTGTATGACTAGGAAATTGAGCCACGTCAATGGACCTGGAGAGAATGAGCCAAAATGCCTCTACCAGCTGCTCAAGGCTGGACGAAGCACAGACCAAGAACTATGTCTCCAATCATGTGGCAAAACTTGCTGGACCAGAAGAGCCATTTGCTGGCGACCATAAAAAAGGAGAAAGCTGGTATGGTCTGGGCACCTCACACGTTTCAACACCCTAAGACCCTCCTGCTTGCAGGTTAATCTGGAGGGAGGACACCGGGCAGGCAGAGCTGGACAGAGGACGCGAAGTGTGGACTCAGCTGTAAATGTTGGAGTAACTTACTGAGGTGGAGGACTAACTGAGATGAAGGAGGCTGTCAATTGATGCATCACGCATGTCTCCCTTCAACTGGATCGGCCAAGGGATTGACCATGGCCTTCTTTGGCCGTGCCCAGGCAAAAATTACACGGCCCTCTACAGGCAGTCTGGCACTAGCACAGCACCCAGCAGGCTGAGGCTCACATGACTATTTTGAATTCCATCCATATGAGCTTAACAATAGCTTTTGTGCAATGGTATGCTCATCTGGACTCACACACACTCAGTTCAGGGATTTAATGTATTCACAGCAGAAATAATTGAAGTATTCAGCAAGACTAAAGGTTTGTTTGTTTTCTTGTTTTCAGGCAACAGGTTCCTATTGGCAAGTGGTGGTGACGACAATTCCATACAGCTCAGTCTGCTCTCTGTAAGTGCTGAATCTGACAGAAATATCAGGGTCAGCGTGGAGCATACACACAGCATCACCTGTGCACACGCTGCCCAGGTCACAGGTAGGTCAAGTCACCTAAGTGGCCATGTTACTCCCTAGTGTCTCCTCTTTAGCCGCTGTATACCAAAATTTACAAAGCTATGTCAAGTGATTTGGGAATACAATCAGCAAAAGTGCACCTAACAAGTCCTTGTACCGTTGCCAGCTTTCATGCATTACTGAATTGTCAAATTAAAAAGTGACGGTGCACCCAACAAGACTTTCATTGATAAAACTTTTTCATAAGCTTGCACAGTCAACAAATCCCTTTTTCAAATGCATTGATGGGCACTATCGAGCACTATCGGTCTACATATAAGGGAAAAAACAAGGGGTGTCGTGTACTTCATGAAGCCACAATCCTCACAGGGACCGTATTTGCATGTAATACAGTCAATTGTATCAATTATCACTTGTTTTATAGTTTCCTGTTTTTAAAGTTTATTGTGGTCAATCTGTTAGGTTGGTTCCCAGCCCTATCACTAATACATATGAGGGTGGCCTCTAAAGACTAGAAGAATATATATCACATGTCTAGGATTTCCCTGCTGTATTTAGATCATAGATGCAGTATGCACTTTCCGTTTTTGTTTGTTGGTTTATTTTTTCTGTGTTTGTTTTTTTGTTTGTTTGTGTTTTTTCACGGTATATTCAAAGCTGTTCAAATGTGGAGATCCATATACAAAAAATACCAAGATATTTTGTGGATTTTTTTTATTGTAATGCAGTTGGGAAATTTGCAAAAAGATGTAAAATAAACAGGCTAAATATTTGGATGGATTTTGAGAGCAATACTAGAAAAAAGACATCAGCTTGTTAATCTTTGTCAGTGCTGTCTAACTTTTTTTTTATTTGATTTTCACCTCTCGAGCTTGGCCACTCGTCACTCATGATTCAAGTTTTAGTTTTGTTTGTGAATGAGAATTGGTCCATAGGGTTGTTCAGATTATCTTTAATTACTTATCAAATTTTGAATATTTGTTTGAATTTGAATTTTCAAAGATGAAAATTAATGATAACAAGGAAAACATATCAATTATTTAGTTACAAAATTGCATACAGAAAGCATATTTCAAGATGTTGTGAGTAAAGTTTTAGGAGCTCAATACATATAACCCACAGGAGGGCAAAACCTTACTTTTCTTTCAAGTTGTTTTCTTTTTTCACATTTGTATTGCCACATGTATGTTTTTCAAGCTCAGAGTGTCTTTTTGTTTGTCATGCTGCATTTGGAAATTCAAAGAACAGATGATTTTTATGATGTTGTATAGGAGTACAGATTAGATTTTTCTTTGGTTCATCAGAGATGTGATATGGGGAGACTTCATCTGACCCATGAGTGATCTTGTTTATCATTGCTGAACCCTTCTCTAGGCTTGTGTTTCACTGATGTCTGCACTCTAGTCTCATCCTCCATTGATCAAAGACTCAGTGTTTGGAGTATCAGCATTTCACCTGACAAGACCTCCATCCTGAAGGTAATTATAAACAAAATAATTGAATCACCCTGAATTTGTGTTAACCACTTGCCGCTGGGGTTGCCGGTACCGGACACGTTGTCTTTATACGCATGGTAGAGGTCTCCAAAATCGGACAAAGGGAACTGTCCCGACAATCTCTATGTACTTGGCGTTGAACAGGTAGCTGAATTGTTCATACAGACAGAATCACTTGAACACTTGAAAAAAACAGACAGCGGTCATTCTCAAAAAGCATTTTACTTTGTACTCATTGGGTCTTTCATCCAATTTGCCTGCGGTGTTGCACAAAAATACAAATTCTTTTAAAATGTCATTTTATGGAATTTTGGGGGGGGGGTTGAAAAATGATTTAAAATAATTTACACGATTCTAAATGTTTCAGCATTTATACTTTTGAAATTGTTTATTCATCCATGAATGAATTAAATAATCCTACGATATTGTAAAATTTCTTAATGGATCTCCTTACCCAGCTGTCAATTTCAAGGACTGTGTTCTCTTACCATGTCATAAATTGCATAAAGGGACAGCAGGCGATTTCACAAAACATGGCATAATTTGAACCTCACGTAAGCCTTTTGCCACAAATTTATGCCATAGCTGCATAATATAATTATATTTGATTTCACAAAAAGTTGCGCAGCTGGGCTTCGTGTTAATAATACATGTATTAAAATTCTTGGATGGAGACAAAAATGGCCTTTACAATGGCTGTTTGATTCCAGTATAACAACAGTTATCAAAAAGTCTGTGAATCACCTCGTCCTTTCTTCATCGGAACTGGACAGAAAATCTTGCAGTTATTTAACTGCCAAGCAAGGGTTTCATTACCTTCTGCATCAAAGTTGTATGTTTCTCGTATAAGCCTTGTTAAGTTCAGCAATGATGAAGCTTAAACAAACAGGATAAGCTAGTAAAATCACTAATTTTTGCTTTCTCCCACAACTTACGCCACCTAAAATGACTGTGTGAGTTACACCATAAGTTGTTGCATAAGTCGCGGACTTACGCAGTGCGTAAGTTTCGTGAAATTGGCCTTGATATGAAGTCCGTGGTTTTCTGACATAAAAATTCTTGGTCGGTTTATTTTTCAACTTTTGACAACAGCATGATCAAGAACAAGCTTTTCCTTACCAACAAATAAAACTCCATCTCCATTTCTTGATTCAGAAGGGGAAAAAATAATCACAATCCCTCTTGCAACAGAAATTGTAGTGTCCATTTGGATAGGAATTACAGCTCATCTGCCGATCCTGTCAAGAGGGCAGTCTTGAACAAAAGAAAATATGCAGTGAAAGTTTTCAGTCCTGTCAATAAGGCCACCTCATGAAGACTGCCTTCATTTGTGGAAGAGACCATAACATACTTATCTTTTATGTTCCAAGGAAAGGCACAATAGTTGTGCATCTTGCTGTGCTTTAATTTGGTAGGAAATCCCTTTGGAGAACATATATCTTGGACAGTTTCTGCAATATTTGTTGTCAAGACCATGATGTATGGATCTAGTGCAGTGTTTGCTTTTCATTATTTCATTAATCTCAGAATAACAACTGTTTTTTTCCTTGGCATTATAGATTATATCACAAGACCTATTACATTTAGACTAGGAAACCACTCCTTCAAATCTTGTCTTTGTAGCTAGAAACTAACATTGAGTAGCCCACTGAGTTCTGAAAAGAGCTGCACATATAATGTCAGTCACAATCGTGTCCTTTTGAATCTTGTTTCAAAATTTTCTCTCCAAGCGTAATAATTGTTTTTAGAAGTCTTGTCTGCTTTAATAGTGTGTCAAAGCATCCATTCCTCAGTGGTGAACTGAGGATTTTAAAGGGTCCATCTGATTGATAACCTTTTATGTAGCTTAAACTTGCTTGACATCCTTTGGGGTGAAGTGTAAGGAATGCTGCACTTTATTTTTACTTTTCAAATTGTCCATGCTTGTCTGGATGACTCAAAGCACTGTTGCTGTGATTTCATTCAGGGAGCTCTTATTTTATGGGTTTCTGTTACCAAATTGTGAATCCATGCATGACAGAAATGTGCATATTGACATGAGGTGCTCTGAAAACGTGTTTATGGAAAGGTGCCATTTAGGATCAATATTGCAAAAGCATTGAGCCTTAATGGGCAGTGTACATGAACAAATAAGTGTGTCGCTGAGCTGTGATATTGTGTAGGAATACACTTGCATTTTGGGTGATTCTTCAATGCACACAATTCATCCATATATAAACATGACTTTACTTACAATGTATTGTGTACACCAAGATGACCCTTTGTATCTTTCTGTTTACTGAGGAGGAATACCTGTACATATGCCAACATTTGATAGTTGTGGTTCATTTGCTAAAACAATCCACCAGATATTCAACTATTCCTAACCCCAACAATTTTTTTTTCAGGTTAAGCAGTTTGGTAGCAGCTTTACCCTCATTGCTGACTGTGCTGGCATGGCCCACTGGACCTTGAGGTAAGTCAGGCCAGCTAATTTTGCAACACCCGACAATAAAAACCACTAGAGCACAACCGAATTCTGCATATATGCATGCATGGAATCAGTTCTGCCCCATTGATAATGGAAGACAAACTGTTTGTGTGTTGTTTCGAGGTAATTTGTTTAGCCATGATGGTCACTTTATGGTTTGCCATCATTTCAAATTATTTTCCCGAGGCCTCTTCTGCCATGCTAGGGTTTAAGCTATCATGCCAGTTGACTCATAACTTGTATTAACTGGAGGGAAAGAAGTCCACTAATTTCAGATTGGTTAGTTTGCTTTGTTATATTTTTGCTCTCGCTGTTTTCTAAATTGCATTTTATATGTTGCATACACTTTAAATTTAGTATAGATGAGGGTGTGTTATTTTATTGGTTCTCTAGGCATGCTGGGCATGTTATCATGGTGTGTGGTCAAGGAGTACAAGTTCTACATTTGAAGGAGAGTGAAGGGACGAGACCAGGCACTTGCAGTTTACCATCCTATGACCATCATGGGGTAGGTTCCATCAGTGACAAATTGTCAACCAGTGGTCGATTTTGACTGGTGACCTATGCATTAAATATATATCGGGCATCAAGGAAAATCGACCAGTGGTTAACAAATAGCCGCTGATTGAACTTGCCCATGGGCATTAGACAAGGGGTTCTTGCATATTTAAGGCTTACTAAAGATTCAGGAATGCCTCTCTGCAAAAACCATTCATATTCAACACCGTGTATTTTTGAACTTTGAAGCCACCAAATTGAAGGGACACCTACATGCTAAGGATATGAAGATGTTTGAATGCAGCTTTTGGCCAGGCAGCACCCGCACTTGTGTGTGTTGTATAATGGGCAACCCAACCTGCAAATATGAACTGTCATTTGACAAAACTAACTTTAATGTGATAGCTAAGTGCCCTGGCAGTCCATACTTGAAAAAGAGCTGCCATTGCGATTGTTAACCAGCTGGCTTAAGCAGTTCAATACTGGCAAATTAGGTATTATTCTAAGCCATTCTTAGATAAAGACAGCGAACATAGAATCATGCAGTAAGTGAGTCTTTACTGTTTTTGTGGCTATGGGCCGATTGCTGGTGTTATCATTTCTAACCTGAAGATTCAGCCACTCCTTGTTGAATACCCTCTGTCAAGGCAATTTTCAGCTATTTAAATAAGAGAACGAACATGTGCTTGTCCAGCCTTAAACATTGCTTAAGACTGGACCAGGGGAATTGATGCACATTTAGCACATACTGCAGGAAGTGGAACCAGCTAGTGTCATTTAAGACCTGCCATGTGACATGCTTTGAACCAATAAGAATAGCTAAATATCTTAGGTATTGATGAATTATTAATAACATCCAGTCCAGCAATATATATATAAAGAATTCCTGGCATAAATCATGTTCAGCCAGCGTCAGGCAGGCAAACCATTTATAGATCAGCTTTACACACAGTTTTGTTGCAGTGGTCAACCTTTAACTTGAAAAGCAAACTGTTGAACACTAGCTAGGGTGTATGGACAACTTGAAGACCATTCATTACAACTATCCGGCTGATGGCCTTGCTACTGTTTCTCTCAGATGCAATTTTTAAATCTCTTTTAAAACATGTTTTACTGAGGCAAAAGTAAGATCAAATTTTATGAATATGATTTTCTGACTCTAGAAACAGACAAAGGTGAAACAAAATTGGTATTTTTTAAATCTGTTTTTTGTATATTTGCGTTTAACCCTGACAAAAATACAGTGGAAAATCTTTAGATATCACACAGCACATACGCGTCTATAATTGGTGTTGTATAAGTCATCAAAGGTCACTTTGTAAGGGCCAATGAATAAAAATTTTTCACCTTATTTTTATTGTTACCAGTTAATTTTTATGTAGATGCATTTTTATATACATGTATGTACATATTTGTATATATCAAATCACTTGAAATGTTGGTGAACGACTTAGTAATGCACTAATGCATTTCCATCTTAAGAGTAAAAGGAATTGGAATAGTACTGTAGACAGTTACAGGATTAAGATTTGTATTGCGGACGGTTGGAATGGGAGGGGCTCAGATTCAGAAGGAGGTTTTCCTTTGGGTGAGCCAGTGGCATAACTGGGGCTAAATGTCCGGGGGGAGGGCACCCGGGGATGCACACATTTTCAAGGGGCACCTCGAGAAAATAAGCTGTAGCTGCATAGCTATGAAAAATCAACAGAGATTTCAAATGGGGGTGCACCGGAGGGGGAGGGGGCGTGATAGTTTGTGTCACATGACATCTAAATGTGTCAACATAATGCTGCCAATATTGTTAATAATAATGGAATTGATCAAGTGCAAATTCTATGCTGAACATAAACGCGCTGTACAATATTGATTCAAAATGCATTGGAATTATTTAAAACAGTAAAACACCGGACAAATTTAAAATATCAATCAAAATGAGGTATACACCAGAGGGCATAAATAAGTATCAGTAATACAAGAGACTGCGAGTTGAAACAGTTAACGTACATGGTGTAATGTTGCCACGTATGTGTTTTAAATATTCGGTTTTGTTGGCGTTAAAAGGTCATCACATATTTTCCATAAACATGAGTGCTTCGGTGAAGATCTTGCCAAAAAAAATTGAAAATGCCATCTTTTTTCCTGGATAAATTGAAAAGAATGATCTCAATCAGAAGATTAAAAATTTCCTTTACTATGCAGTTACCCAGTTAAACTCTCCACCACAGTCTTGTGTCGATATTAACATCGTTGCAGATCAGATTCGTCTAAGCTGTCGCTGAATGGCAGCATTTAAAGACTGAATTCTTCTTGTATCAATCACTTCAACACGTTAGTCGTCTGAATCTGTCTTGTGTATCTAAAAGTATCTGTTATGCGTGTCCTTGAGAACAATTCGACAAACCGTTGGCATGTAAAAGACAAAAGGCGTACTGAGCTCGGATAACTGCTGACAGAAATAATTTGCTTCACAGAGCACACATTCAAGCTCTTTCAATTTAAAAGAAACATACAGACGGTTTTTTTTTAACTTCAAAAACAGTTGCATTCTTTTGTTTCATAAATGATACCTAGAATATTAAGGTCTGTTGAAGAAAACTAATCTGAAAGGTACAAATGACTGATTTCATTATGGATTTCACAGTGACGTTTAACGAAATTTGGATAAACGTATTACAGATTTTTGTCCAGTTATTGCATCTATATCAAAGAAATTTCCTAAACGAATTTAGGAAGAATTAAAATGTTAGAATTTTGAATTATGCACTACCATGGTGGCCTTTTGAGATCGAAATTAGGAATTGAGCGCGACGATGTTCGTGGATAAAATTAAAGTATCGTTCTAAAAATTTACAGGTGTAAAATGATATTGAAAACTTGTATTAGATTGTACGGCAAAAGGCAAATTTGTTTCCTGCATTTTATACAGACATTTCAGCGTGGACGAGATGAAATCGAATATACCCGAAGCCGAAATGTGTTGCTCGTAGGTAGAACTCAGTTCCACAGCAATTGAAATGACGAAATGACACGTTGAAAATGCGTTAGTTTGCGTAGAATGAAAAACGTTTTCAAACAGTCTGGAGAACCTGCATATATGATATAGAACCCTTTCAGCCGTGTTTTCTTTAAATTCACTCACTGATGGTCCAAGCTGTGTGCAGTCGCGCCAGCACGGGCAGGCCCCACTCTGCAATCTAGAGGCGTTTTGATACATGTATTCGGCGCAAGCGAAGTTCTTTATTCTAAATTTTTTGAATCGAGTGAAAACCGCAGAGCTTTTTATAAAAACTATAGGTCTATGGAGAAAACAGGTACATTTATACAATAATCAACAACTGAGTCGGGAAAACTTGACTTGACTTGGGAGAAATTACTCTTACACAACACACTGAATCGGAAGGCATTTTGGTCGCCATGGTGAAAGTTACGAACCGCGAGCCATAAAACGTTCGGGTGAATTGAAGGAGGTTATTAAGTTATAGCGCCACCTAGATCAAAAGACTGGCCTTCGCGAAGTGTTCGGAGCAGCTCCTTTGCCGTTACGCCGAAAACAAACAAATAAACGAACAAATACCCCAACACACCAACAAAAGTGATCGTCCTTTTTTGCCCAGAAAGTTGTGTTGGACAGAAGGTTTTTGTTTTGTCCTCACGACATCACTAACCTGACATGAAACAACTAATCACTCTTAGTTTCTCACTTAAAAATCCCTTACATTTTCATGTATTTAATTTTTTTTTATCTCGGCTCCACGTCAGTGATCGATTTCACTTTCGAATAGTTTTCTACTTACATGAAGCGAACGAGTCTGATGTGAGTTTAGATCCGCGTCACCTACACACATGATGCATGGCCGATTATCAAATCTCAGCTTTGTCTACGCGTGCCTCATTTTAATCCACTGACTTTGAAATTTGCATCAGTTAAAAATTTTGTTTTAAAAATTAAAACTAATTTTTGCAAGAGGAATATCAAACTGTAAGCTATTGACCAAAGGATGGGATTTTTTTTTTAACAAACAACTATTGATTTCAATGTCAAAGATGAATGTGCAGCGGAGGCGAAGCTGAAATTTGGGAAATACTTTTCTAGCCTTCCGGCAAGATGTCACAACATGCACACACTGTGATCGTTCGAGCGAACATTTAGCCACAAATATGACTATAGATGCAAAGCCCTGACGTCAAAAGCTGGCTGATACGCTGCTGACGTGCAATGGACGTATTTAAAAACACAAAGTATTATTGCAAGACATCGCCATGTAGGCTTCCCTTAAGACAAACAAATAGCGATGAGTGGGACATGATCCCCATGTCTGGATTGTCGTCCCAGGAAGGGGTCACGGACGCATCACCCCAGCCGCTGGTCCTGTGATTACTGGGAGAGTGATCAAAGTTATCGGAAGAGAGAATCTGAGATGGATAAAACCGTACACAAAAACCATATCCACGGACTTTTCCTATACATATAATGCGTTTCTTTTAGCCTGACATACATGTTGGCTTCTGTCTGCTTTCTCATGTAGAGAAAAGAGCAACGTTTTGGTGTTATTGCCACCTCCGTTCCTCCTAAACTGTATCCTGAAAGTGAAGCCTCATGCTCCAAGACCATTAGAATTAGAATTAGAAATTGACAACCAGAAGTTGCCATTCCTTCGAAAGATGGTTCTGGCGTGATCTGTATCATAACACCGGGTTTAATTTCTGCTCTTTTTTGTCATCCCAATTGCCCACTTTAATGGCCTACCGCGCTTATAAAATCAGTTAATTAAGGTTCAAATTGTAACCTCTTGCTCTCTTCCTTCTGACGAATAAAAATTGGGCGTAGCTTTGTCACTTTCGAGAATGTTCTGCCGTCTTTAATGAGGGAAATTGCTTCTCTTGACCAGAAGCATCACTACGTAACAAACTCACCGCGAGAGCTTTTGAGCCCGTGAAGCCAACAAAGAGAACTTTTTAAAGAGCTTGGATTGGACAGATTGAGCATGACGTCATGCCTTGAATCGAACACCCTGGCGATGATTGGTGATATGTACGCTACGCGTGTCGACGTCCAATGCAATGTTCGTGCACAAATCTGTAGCTAGCTTCACGCGGTTAGTTTATATCACGTTTCGCGCTCGGGAGGGCGATGCATTTGTGCGTACGAACATACAACGCACGAACGTAGCCTGTGTGCATACTGCCAATACTGTGTTCTCATTAGGGGAATTGCCGGTACTGTGAGTTCACCGTGTGTGCAGCTTCTTTCTGGACAAATGAAGGTATTTAAAAGAATTCCAATGTTGTGTGAATTTAGTAGGTACTGTGCACATGCCTGTGTTCCCTCCATATCTTAAAAAGGCGTGTTGGGTCTTGAGCAAAATGACAGTGATAGCTGGTCACGGCGATGGTGAATGGCAAATGCAACCCGGCACAGCTGCTTGGCAAGTTCGTGCGGTACTGTTTCTTCCCGAGTTCAGCCGCCAGCCGTAAACCTGGGCCTTCTGGTGCGAACAACTGGACGGACACAGCCAAATGACGTTTCCCTGTTTTATTCGCTAACACAAGACTCAATACGTAGTTAAAATCATCAACTGTACAAAACATTTTATTAATATCAGACACCGTGCATAACTAAAGGCTATTCAAAATGTCGGAAAAACGTGATTTGTGTCGTGAAGACGTTGAGAAATATTTGGACACCCATCATGATATTGCCATGGAGATTTTTGCTGCAAAGGCAACACCAGAGTTGGTGGATGGATGGCTGTCCAAGCATTCAGTTGGTCATGTTGCAAAGAGCATGTCAAGCCATGAAATTGGGTCCTGGCCGGATGTCTCTGCCTGTGCATCAAACACAGACAAGCACAAAATGTTGCACTCCTTACGCAAAAGTTTTGCAGGTGCCAGTGGAAGTTTACGCAGTCTTCTGTCACCAAGGAAACGGAAAGTGGTGCGAAGAAATAAATCTGCACTCAAGCAGCTTGATGAGAAAGATTTGTTTATGGAACTGATTCGTGACATAGCTGATGAACTTGACCTACACACGCTCAGCCACAAGATTCTCATGAATGTGAGTATCTTGACGAATGGAGATCGCTGCAGCCTCTTTTTGGCACGTGGAAATCGTGATAATCGCTACCTAGTGTCCAAGCTTTTTGACGTGACGGAGAATTCAACAGTTGAGGATGCTCTTCACTCCGAAGAAGATGAAATTCGTATACCCTTTGGACAGGGTATAGCTGGGCATGTGGCACAAACCAAGGAGACAGTCAACATAAAGAATGCATATGAGGTTTGTTATTTTGTTGAATTTATGCAAGGCCTGGGCCCAATTAAAGGAAGAATTCCATAAATCATGTAAGCCTGCATGGCCGGGCATCGCTGATTTTTCTCTGCATTGGCATATCAGCCATCAGAAAGAGTAAACATCCTACGAAGTCGAATTTGGCAGGGAAATTATCAAAGCGTGTACTTAAGATTTTTTAGATTAGTCTCATACATGTCGTAGGGTTTGGGCAAAGGGTGTCAAGTGATTTGATTTCCAGGTCTGTTACCGTTTACCTACAAGTAGTTCATTTAATCGTTTGATGGACAGATAATAAGGACCAATTGATTGCACAGTCCCAGTCACTGAACTAAATTAAAAGACTTCAGTTGAACAAGTACATTGGAAATACCTAATGGACCGGCCCAGTGCCCAGATGGAGGCCAGAGATTTTAATGTTGGTCTTGTTGCATGGACACCAGGACAAGTCCAGCAGCCTAGTGGTTATCAAACATATCTCCCCTTGGCCCTTGACACAAGGAAGGCCTACAACTTAAACATAATGTTTGGAATAGTACAATTTGTTATTTAATGCTTAATATTAACAGGCAGTCTCCTGATGACGGACAGAGCACACTCATTACCGTCCAAATGTTGAGTACCCTCTGGTTCTTTTCAGAACCACACACACATGTACTTAAAAAGAGATACATGTATCCTTGCATGGTGCTATCACCAACTTCTTAGTCTGTAATGTTCATAATCACTTACATGTATGCTACAGTGTCTGTCTTATAGCACTTGCTGTGGTTATGGTGGTGGAAGGTTACCCCCTGCACTGGTCCAGTCAATTTTATGAGGTACCAGCCCTGCAATCCAGTCGTATTTTTCTCTAACTTTTACCTCTGCAAATATACATATGCCATTCCCTTGCAATTAGGGCCATTTAAAATTTGTTTTGAAGTTTTACAATGTGGGCCTTCATAACTGCCAGACCAGATGTTTGTGACTGTGTACTAGTAGATTTGTTTTCATATAAAGTATATTTTTCTGGCAGACATCTTACAGTTTCATGGTTCCATTGACCCTTCCTCTGTAGAGACAGCAAAACAATTTTGACTTCGTAGGCCTACTCAACGTTTGTGTGCTACTGTTTAATATCGACCTGTTTAGTGTTCTACATATACCGGTACATCAGTACATGTTTCACTTAGGGCTGAGTCAATTCGAATATTTCACCGTTCGAATATTCAACATTTAATTCGATCGAATATCCGAATATTTGGTTGTACTGACTGGCAGACTGTTGATGAACAAACCATATACAAAATCAGTTGCAATAACACACAATTGCATAGGGGTCAGCCAATGAGGGGATCAGACATCGGATCGGGCCGATGTTCGGCAACATAGCAAAACATCGGATTGGAAGAATGTGACCTTCCTTGCCGATATGAGTGCCGATGTTGACTTGGAGAAAGGAGCAAACTCTACACTCGGTTTTGGCAAAGAAAAATCTCATTTTTTATGAGCATGAATACAAGCTTTGGTTTTTTCATTTGATGTGATAAATGAACGGTTTTACCATGGTTAAACCCAAGTATCCCTGAAAATAACACCTGCACAATCCATGCCGCAATAATGCAATGTATGGACCGTGGCCCCATGGAACAGTCAGTGTACTTACTGTTTCCAGTAACAGCCATTAAAACAGCCCGGGAACTACACCATTTGTGGCACCACCCATGAGGTGCTGTGTTGCTGGTCTGAAGGAAGCCCGCGATTTAGCCTTTATTCAAGGCACGAGTGGCTACCTGAATACACGACGTGCACCTCTGCTGTTGGCATGCACGTCAAAGACACCAATGCAGTGGTGCATCAGTGCCATGTGTGCCTTGACTGAAGGCTACCGTAATTCGGGCCAAGGTGCTGTGTCTATTTTGCATGTACCGGTAAGCACCGTGTGGGTTTGTGTGATCGGTTACATCAGTATCATGCGCGGCAGCGATCGATGTACACAATTTGCACAATTTATTCTCTCAACAGTGACTGTGAAGGCAAAAACTAATCCTATTAGTATTACCAGGAATGTGTAAACTGACATTTTAAAGGAGTACACTGGTTTTGTGTTGGATGTAGTAGGCCTACATCCTGTTGAGGTTACTTTTCAGTTATTGTTGGTAAAAACATCGGATCACATCGGATATCAGCCAATGTTCCGACTGAAACATTGGACATTGGATCGGCAGTTAAAACCTACATTGGTCGATCCTTACAATTGTACATTATAATCACTATAATAGCTTCTTACATCCAGGAGTATCTCCAGCCACGATTTAGCAAAATTTAAGAGACATACAATACTTCTTGCCCTGTTAAAATTTGTGTTCCTTTCAAATTTTTTAATGACTAATTCGCTTTTTTGAATCACTGTAAGATTTCTGTCGTTTTTCATTTGAGTCTGCTCGAAACAAGCCTCCATAGTGCAACTTTTCTCATTTAAAATAAAAGAAAATTCTCCCTTTCTTTTTATTAATTTGCATTTGCATATTCAAATTTGGAAAAAATTATTTGAATATTCGGTAATGGATGGATTATATGGTTATTTGGATATTCGGCACAGCCCTAGTATCACTTTAATCTGTCATGGCTCCAAATTGATGATGTCAAGCATATTGTGTGACATGTTTCAAACAGATGATAAAACATAAGTGCCCTAAATCAGATTACTGACACGCACACACATGCGGCACTTGGTATGTTGTTCATTTCATGTTTGCTATTCCTTTTTAAGGCTTGGTACTATTGTCAAACTTTGGCCTCCTCAATTCTTTCTTGATGTGGAGAAGTGGAAATCGAAGTATAAATTTCGCTGCTCACTTTTTAAAAAACCTTAGCTTTGTGAGGACTGTTGCATCCTGATGCCACTTTTCTCAATACAGTGTATATTATCTCCTTGAAGGTCAGTTTTGCAAAAAAAGCGAAGAATATTGAACAGACGTGAATCTTCGACTGAGAAACATTTTTAATTTTAAAATACTTTGAAAATGTTGAATCTCCATTGACTTTATTCACAACTGCTCTGGTATGTGATACTTGGTCTTTATAACTATGGTCATCTCATATAAACAAAAGAATTTGCTTTGGTAAATAAAACAACATTTGCTTGTAGTAATGTTTGTTTCATTCATTTAAAAAAGTAAATTAACATGGTTCTGTACACATTTGTTTAAAACCTGAGAAGATGTTATTTATGATTCAGCAACTTTTGAAGCCACAGTATGTAAACTGGAAGAATTTCAACGTGAAGAACTTCAAAAATATTGATTTGATCTCTGGTGCATTGCAGAACTTTATCAACTTTTTTGTGGAGCAACTTGGGTATTTGCCCTTGTGTTTGAATCTGAAGGGTGTTAAGAAACAAGTCAATTCTGAGTCCAAAACACTTGTAGTTAATCCAACTTTTGCATCAAAGGCCACAAAGAAAGTGGCTGATTGAGGAGGTCCAATTTTTATTTACAAATCTCATCTCAAAAATAGGTACATATTACGTATAGTTACGTAAAAGCATTTTACATAATTTGTCCTTGTGTTTTCACTTTTGTTAGTGGTACAATAGATGTTCCTATTTGTCCTGAATATTCCTCTAAGCCTTGGACAACATATCGGATTTGTGTTGAAATTTGTTCATGTCAGAAGACGGAACAGGCTTGCATCTATCATTAGCTTTGGCCACTTTGTGCGAAGAGGTGTGTTTCAGTATGACCATGTGTAGTGTGCATTTATTGTTTGACTATAATGAACTGTTGAATGAATTTTGCATGGTTCCTATTCTCCTTTTAATGAATATGTAATTAATGTTGCATAATCAACAATTAATCAGTCAGATTCAGATGGTATATAAGAATCCAGTTGAGATTCAGTTGAGATAAGCACGCGATAATGTTATGTTTTACAGAGCCCTACATAATGTGCACTCCCACTGTTCAATGCCCTCTTTAGCCTTGTGACACAGGCCATAAATTAATGTTGACCAGGCTGGTCTGTTCTGCTTTACACACTACTTGTACAACATAGCACCATCCTATTTGTTTTATTAATTAATCTTGGCCCAGGTCTTATCTTTAGCCCATGTGTGAAGCAAACTAAATTTCAGTTTGATTCTGCAATTAGTGTGAAAATGATGTCACATGACTGTGCTCGGTCCATTGCCACAATGCATATGCTGTCATGGACAGAGAACAATGCAGACACATGTTCTACTGTAATCAACATCAGAGTATTCCATATTTCATGTTACACCAGCTACATAGAACTCCTCACATCATCACATCATACCGAGCAAATACGTGTAGACATAAGCTGTGTTTGCACTGTGCTGAAATTTGTAATTAAGTTAACATGAGCAATCACTTACCGGTACATTCCACCATGGTTATTTTTCCGGGCATCCGCACTTGGTTTACTCAAGGCCTACAGAAAGTTTAAACTTTCCGTAGTAGTGATTGAATTTCCAGTCTGATACAGGATGTGGTTTCGGATAATGTGGAATGCAGGATTCCAAAAATGTTGAAAACTTTCTCTAGTATATGTACTTTTGTGGTCAAACATATTTCCATGCTTGCCTCTAACATTTTCACATTACACAACATTGAATCTGGAACCAAACTTTTAGGAATTACAAGCCATGCTACATTTGCATTTGATAAAATAACCATGTACATGTACATACGTACAGTCCATACAAGCAGCCTGACGCCTGAAACGTAGCAGGATTGCACTGGCTCAATGACCTGGGCAGTGATCAGAAGTTGGCACGGTACTGTAAAACTGACAGAGTAATTCTTTTATGACCAAGCTGGTCCTGTAAAACTTACTGCCACTGAGGGTAAAACTACCAATAATGGATACTTTACAGGTCAAAAAGTTTTTATGTACATGGGCTTAATTTTGTCAAATTTACAGCATTCTCTGTAAATTTCACCCAAATTTGAATTCAGACATCTGTTGATATACCTTTTTGTCGA